TCTCTTCTAGCTTGAGTGAGCTCAGACTAGATCATTATTACCTTGTCTTAAGTAGCCTGAGTCTCCCTGACCTGAGTCCCTCTCCACATCCTCCAGATAGCTGCCAAAGTGATTTTCCTCAAGCATAGATCAATCAATTCCAATGATTTCCTGTTGCCTCCAGGATCACATATAAAGGCCTTCATTTGACCTCTGAAGGTCTCCCCAACCTGGCCCCTTCCTACCTTTCCAATGACACACTCCCCTCCAGGTATATTCTATGGTCCAGCCACATAGGTCTACTTGCTGTTCCTCAAACACACAACTTCATCTCTCATCTCCATGCTTTTCTACCGGCTGTTCCCCATGCCTGGAATGTTTTCCCTCCCAACCTCCAACTTGTAGACTCTCTTGCTTCTTTTAAGGCTCAGCTCAAGTGCCGTCTTTTAGGAGGCATTTCCTGGTCCTCCCAGCTACTAGGGCCCTGCCTCCCTACCCTAACCCTCACCTTCATCTCTGTTTATCTGCTCTGTTATGATTTTGATGTATTATCCTCCTTCCTCCCCATTAGAATGTTAGCTCCTTGAGGGGAGAAAGAATTTTGCATTTTTTTTTTAATCCCCAGTGCTTAGAGCAGTGCTTGGCACACTTAATAAATAAATTCTTATTGAGTGATCCATTGATTTACCCAACACTTTCAAGCTTCCAGAATATTCTATATGGGTTATCTCATTTGATCTTGACACCTACCTTGTAAGGTATGGAAAGTATAATTATCCCCATTTTATAGATGAGGAAGCTGAGGCTCCATGAGATTCAGACTCCTCCTACTCCCACAGCCTTTCTGAATGACAAGAAACTTGAGTCTCTAGAGATGTGTCCTCCAAAGATTATAATACAAGGTAGAGTAAGACCTATGCAAAGGAATGGTTTAACAGGCACGAGAGATTACAAAACAAGGGAGACTCTAGTGGGAGGGATTTAAAAAAAAAAAGACTCAGTTTTTCATCATCTCAAATCAGTTTTACTTGATCCAGATCCACTGGTGGAGAGGAAAATAGCCTTGTCTCCAAGCTGTTTTCTCAACCCTTTGTGTTCCTCCCTTCCTAGAGCCCCCAGTGGTGTTTGCCAAGGAGCAGCAGACTCAGAACAAGGTAGAGGCCGTGGCTGGTAGCAGCGCCACCCTGAGCTGCGAGCTGGCCCAGGCCCAGACAGAGGTGACCTGGTACAAGGATGGGAAGAAACTGAGCCCCAGCCAGAAGGTGCATGTGGAAGCCAAGGGCCGGGGCCGGCAGCTGGTGGTGCAGCAGGCGGGGAAGGCAGATGCTGGGGAGTACACCTGTGAGGCTGGAGGCCAGAAGGTCACCTTCCGCTTAGATGTCAAAGGTCAGTTGCCTTGAATCTGGGGAATCACAATTCCTTCTGATTTGAGTGTGTGTGTGTGTGTGTGTGTGTGTGTGTGTGTGTGTGTGTGTGTTACAAACAGCCTGGAAACTCTGGGGGCAATTTAATGATTTGGAAAGATTAGGAAAAACCCAGGTTTTTTCCTTACTATCTGGACAAATTGATTGATTTCTCTGAATTTCACTTTCCTCATCTTTAAAACCGTAAAGTTGGACCCAGATGATCTAAATGTTAATATGAGTCCTAGCCAGGGGCATATATAGTTTTTTCCTTCTTTAAGTTGTTCTAACCTTAGCAACCACCAACAAAACCATATATTCACAAAAAAAAAATTTTTTTTTTTGGGCAGTTGGGGTTAAATGAACTTGCCCAGGGTCACACAGCTAATAAGTGTCAAGTGTTTGGTTTGAGGCCAGATTTGAACTCAGGCACTCCTGATTTCAGGGCCAGTGCTCTATCCACTGCACCACCTAGCTGCCCCTACAAAAAACATTTTAAAAAAAATTATGTACATACATCATGGTAGATCTAGTCCAATCCCCTTTTTTGCTTTTTGTTGTTCAGGTCATGTTCAATTCTTTATGACCCCATTTGGTTTTTTTCCCCCCCAAAGATACTGGAGTAGTTTACTATTTCCTTCTCCAGCTTATTTTTACAGATTAGGAAACTGAGGCAAACAAGTTTAAGTGACTTGCACAGGGTCACACAGCTAGTTAGTGTCTGAGGCTGGATTTGAACTCAGGTCTTCCTGACTCCAGGCCTGGCACTCTATCTCTTGTGTCACCTAGCTGTGCTCTTTGCTCCTTGTGAGGAAATCAAGGCCCAGAGACTTAGATGACTTGACCAAGGCTACCAGGAACTAAGGAAGGCTATGAATCTCTAACTCCAAATCCAGTGCCCTTTGCACCACGATAGGCTGCTTCTCATGAAACTTTGTTATTGCAAACTCAAAACTTTGTTGTTGCAGCATTAAAAATACATGTATTAACTTTTGAGAGGGACTGAGGTAAAGTGGATAGAGAGCCACCCTTAGAGTCAGAAAGACCTGGGTTCAGGTTCTGCCCTTGACACATACTGACCATGTGACTATGGGCAAGTCAGTTAATCTCAGTGTCCCACACAGCTCTCTGAGACTGTCACCTGCAGAACAGCTTTTTGCATTGGTAGATGGAGTTTTTCCCTGGAAGTTCTCAACATCAGTGCAATAAAGACCTGTCAAAACAGCAAAAAATAATTAACCTCAATAAGATAGAAATGGAAACATCTTGTTCACTTCTGTCCCTTCTTAAGTATTTTTCTCTAGGATTTAAAAAAAATTTGTTTTAACAAAGGGCCACCTAATCAGAAAACCAACCCTAGATGTAACAACAGTCAAGCTATTACAAAAACATAGAATTTTTAAAAGCAGTGATGTAGAAACAGTCCCATCAGTTTCCTTCATCAATTAATCAATAAGCATTTATTAAATGCCTGTTATATGCCAGGCACTGTGCTAAGTGCTTAGGATATATAAACAAGCAAAAGATGGGCCCTGCCCCTTTTCAAAGAGCTTACAATCTAATGAAGGGCTTACAGCTTTATTCAACATTTTTCATATAGAAGTGCCATTCTGAATCTATTGGTAACCACTGATCAATTCTGACTGAGTCATAGAATCACAGGGCCCCCAAGATACGGTCCCAGTGAAAAGAGCCCTTATGTGTCATCTAATCTGTTTCTTCCATTTTAAAGAGAGAACTGAGTCACTTAAGGTCACATTGCTACTAGGTAGACAGAACCAAGGCAGTGAAAATGCTGGAATTTGAGATACAGAAGTATTCTTCTTTTTGCTATTTTTTTTAATATTTTATTTTCAGTTCCAAATTCTCTCCCTCTTTCCACTCCCTCCCCCACCCATTGGAAAGGCAAGAAATACTGTATTCATTTTACATGTGAAGTCATGCAAAACATATTTCCTTATTACCCATGTTGCAAAAAAAAAAGGCAAGAAAAATAAGGAAAAATAAAGGATTTTTCTTGAGGCCTTTGGAATTGTCATGAATCATCATGTTAATCAGAATAGCTAAGTCTTTCGCAGTTGATTATTACTCAGATATGTGAGTATTGTTGAGAAGTGTGTGGAGTGTTCAGCTAGGGCACAGCTTGTTTCTGATGCCAGGTTTCCATCCCTGATATTCATTCTCAGTATCCCCCCCCCCCCACATACACACATATATATATTTTACAGAGTCAGGGAAAACCAAACATGGAGTTTGGCCACGTAGCCAGAAATTGTAGGTGGTCAGGTCTTCTTATGCTATTTAATGAATTGAATTTTTTTTTAAAAAAATTGGCTAAATATCCAGTTAGCCACAACATACTTGGCCTGCGCGTGGACACCTGGGGTCTAAGTGATGGAGGAATTGCTACACAGAGTTAATTCACAGCTCACATTCCAAAACTAGATTGGAAGTCAAAGTGACATCACTCTCCTCAGTTAGTGTGAACAACAGAGTTCCTTCATATGCAGAATGTCCCAAAAGTCTTTGTGCCATTTTAAGCTATAAAAGTTTAAGTAGCTTTAATAGCTAAAATAAAATAGCTTTAATAATGAAGAAAATAGCTTTGATAGCTTAAAATAGCACTGAGACTTTGGGGGTAGTCTATGTGGTTAAGGAGAAGAGAATGATAGGATTACAGTACTGCACAGTTAGAAAGGACTTCAGCAGTCAACTTAAAAAAACAATTAATCCTTTTGTCAATTTACCCAATGAGGATCCAGACTTTTCTTTAAGATCTCCCCTTTGGATAGATCTAGGAATTTGTCCAACATCAAATCTAAGTCTACTTCCCTGAAAACCTCTGGCCGTTGTTCTTAGCTCTATCCTCTGGGGCCAAAAGACCAAGATGGACAAGATGAGATTTAAGTGCCTTGCATTTCTAACCTATGATCCTAAATCTACCTGTAGAGTGAGCTCTTCCAAATTACAGCTCCTCCAGTGCTTGTAGACTCCTGAATTTCCCAGAATTCTTCCCTCCTTCTTTTGTCCATTTTTTTTTTTTTGGCTAGGCAATCGGGTTAAGTGACTTGCCCAGAGTCACACAGCTAAGTGAGTGTTATGTGTCTGAGGTCAGATTTGAACTCAGGTCCTCCTGAATTCAGGGCCAGTGTTGTATCCACTGCGCCACCTAGCTGCCCCTCTTTTGTCCATTTATTATCAACAGCTTATCAGACTTGGTGGTAGTTTCACGCTTCATGGTAGTGTCATCTAACATATGATATATATCCATTTTGAGAACCACTTTCACTCCAGCCTTCAATTTCTAGGAAATGAATTGGTTCTATGATCTTCTGTTCATCTGTCTGTATATTTGTTCCTCTCCCAGAGCCCCCAGTGGTGTTTGCCAAGGAGCAGCAGACCCAGAACAAGGTGGAGGCCGTGGCTGGTAGCAGCGCCACCCTGAGCTGTGAGCTGGCCCAGGCCCAGACAGAGGTGACCTGGTACAAGGATGGGAAGAAACTGAGCCCCAGCCAGAAGGTTCATGTGGAGGCCAAGGGCCGGGGCCGGCAGCTGGTGGTGCAGCAGGCAGGGAAGGCAGATGCTGGGGAATACACCTGTGAGGCTGGGGGCCAGAAGGTCACCTTCTGCTTAGAAGTCAAAGGTCAGCTTCTCCAGGGGTTCATGAAGCATTCTAATTCCACTGGGGGATTTACATATAGTCTTGATACCCTTTTGGTTCTGACTGTTACTTGGATTTCTTTTCTTAGACCTGTTTCTCAAATCCTGCCTGGCTCTTAGTATCTCCCTCACTCTCCCTGACATGTGTACGTTCTTTAATTTTTAAAAAGGGTTTTGCTGATTTTATTTTATTTTTTAAACTATTTTTTTAATCAACAAAAATCTATTTTCTCTCCTTCTCCCTTCCACCCCATCCTGACCCATACAAAAAAAATAACAAAACCTTTTTTAACAAATATGTATATTTGAGTAAAACAAACTTCTAAATTGTCTGTGTCCAAAAAGTTGCCTCATTGTGTACCTTGAGTCCATCCCCTCTGTGTTAGGAGCTAGGTAACATGCTTCATTTCCTAGCCTCTGGAATCACATGGTTGACCCTTGCATTGCACAGAGGGCTTACCTCTTTCAAAGTTGTTTGTCTTTAAAAGCAACATGTATCTTCTTCCTTATCTTGCTGCTTCGGGGTCTTTATAACTTTGACAGGGCAGGGAAGGGTTATGTATGGTGCCCTGGGCTGTACGTAGTAGCATGTGGATGCCTAAGACTAGTCAGACACTCCACGACTTCCCTAATCTTTGCCATCACACAGGATGGAGCTAGAGAGACTGCGCATGGCAGTGATGAGAATGCCAAGAGACAGCAGGACATGGTGGACAGACTTCCCAAGTTGGAGGACCTGGATTCAGATTGTGCCCCTGGCATTTAATAGTTGTGTGAACATGGGCGAGTTAAATCAACATATATTTATTAAGCTCCTACTATGTGTCAGGAGCTGTGCTAAAAGCTGAGGAGACTAGGGGGAAAAAAAGGCAAAATGATGAGTCCCTGATCTCAGGAAGCTCATGACCTAATGGGAGAGACAACGTGCAAATGACTATGGGCAAATAACACACAGACAGGATAAATTGGAGATAATCAACAGAGAGAAGGCACTGGCCCTTTATAGAGGGGGTTGGGAAGAAGGTGGGATTTTAGCTGCGTTTTGAAGGAAGCCAGGGAAGAAGGTAGAGGTGAGAAGGGAGAGGATTTCAGCATAGGGGATAGCAAGAGGAAACAGGAGTGTCCTGCATGAGGAGCCCAAAGTGTCCCTGGAAGACCAAGGACAGAAGACTGGAAAGGTAGAAAGTTGACCTAACCTCGTAAACGTCAGTTCTTTAATCTGTAAAATGAGGGAAAAGGAGTTGACTTCTCAGGGCCTTTCCAGTCCATGGATCTGACGGAATGGACCTGGAGTCAGAGGATACTTGGGTTCATAGTCTGACTTCACACGTATTAACTGTGTGATCCTGGGTGAGTCAATCCACCGGCCTCTGTGAGCTTCAGTTTTCTTGTTTGTAAAATGGGTCTAAAAACATGCACACTTACATCCCCCCACAGGGTAATTGTCAGTACTTAGTAAAGCACTCATGACCTTGTATAAATGAGACTTCTGACATATACTGGCTGTTTCGCCAGAAGCAAGGCACCATCTTAAACAAAAGTGGGCCGTCTTAGTTGGGGCAGGTCGCTTCTGGGTAACCTTAGCAACCGCAGCGAGCTTCTGTCCTCTCACACTTCACCACTAGATGTCATTGTTCGATGCTTTTTCAAGACCTTCAGTGGCTACAGGCTCTCACGTTTTCTTGTCCTGTATAATGCTTATCCGTGTCCTTACAAATAGTCTCCGGAGAAGAGTCCACTCAATGCTCTGGAGTCTTTTCCCTGGTTATTTCAATACCTTAAGGGTACCAGTGTACAGGGCTGTGTGGAATGTATTCACTCAGGCTTTGAAGCTTAATTTCTATTATTAACACTTTCTGATTTGTAGCTTCTGACCATTTCTGAGATTATAATGCTCACAATGGAAACTGCATTGCACCCCTGCCAATATAACACTGCCCATCTCCTATCTAGCATTCTCCCTACATAATCAGTTCAGCTTTTCCTGTTTATAGACCTGGGTTCAAATCTTACTTCAGGCAGATATGAGCTATATGATTCTGGATAAGCAGCTAAACCTCCCTCAGACTCAGTTTCTTCATCTCTAAAATGAGCATAATAATAGCATCCATCTCACAGGTTCAAAGGGAGGCCCAAATGAGCCAAAATATATGCAAATCTTATAAGTAGAGTGCTGTATTGATGAATTATTATGGCTACTTATTATTATTCACAGTCTTCTTGATTTCAAAGTTCTTCTGTGGGTATAGATCCCCTATAATCCTCTGCTCTTGAGTTTCTCCTCATTTACTTAGGTTAGTTGTTGGATTATAGACACACTGTCACAAACCCATGTGGAATCCATACTTTCTGACTGGATCAGATATTCTGGGGCTGGCACCCCACTGGCAGAGCCTTTGAGAACCCAGAGTCTACTCCATAGCACAGTGAAGCGCCAGAACATTTGGATGGAGAACCGTCATAAGGGTTATTTACTACAGCTAGAAAGTTCCTTAGCTTTGAAGTTTCACTTTCTATAAAAACAACCAATATTTCACCATATCCATTCCACATACTGAAGATACTGAGAATGAGGGATGCTCGTGTTTTGGGAACCTTAGTGTTGCCTTTGTTCTGCTAAGGCTTACAGGAGCAGAGGGAAGCCTTCCTTTTTCTTAGCTGTTATCTCTGATGCTTCATGTTTCTCTCCTCCCAGAGCCCCCAGTGGTGTTTGCCAAGGAGCAGCAGACCCAGAACAAGGTGGAGGCCGTGGCTGGTAGCAGCGCCACCCTGAGCTGCGAGCTGGCCCAGGCCCAGACGAAGGTGACCTGGTACAAGGATGGGAAGAAACTGAGCCCCAGCCAGAAGGTGCATGTGGAGGCCAAGGGCTGGGGCCGGCAGCTGGTGGTGCAGCAGGCGGGGAAGGCAGATGCTGGGGAGTACACCTGTGAGGCTGGAGGCCAGAAGGTCACCTTCCATCTGGACGTCAAAGGTCAGTTCCTAGGCAGTTAACCCCCTCACCTTAGGAGATGGTCTTCAGAAACTGATGTGGCCCCCTAATTTCATCACTCTATGCCCAGTCTCCTGGTGATGATCCCCTCTGAATTTTGCTAGGCTGGTTCTCAGGATTTACTATGACATGCAAAACTTTTCAAGTTTGCTTATAATAATAATATATAATGCATCAAGGTTTGTAGAGCAGATTCCTTATGAGAACCATGTGAGGCAGGTAGTGCAAATATTATAAATGATGAAAGAGAAAACTGAAACTGAGATATGTGCATATCACACAACAGAGGCAAGATTCAAACCTGGGCTTTCTGGTTCCAAATCCTGTGTTCTCCTGTGTACCATGGTAGCATCTTCTATAGTCTGTACCCTTCCAGAACTATCTTTGCAAATCCAAGGTTACCTCCATGCTATGGTGAGGCATCAGAGGGGAGCATATGGTATGTACTTTGAGGAATTTTTAGCTCATAGACAAATCTGCAAATATTCATCCAAATAAGACAATGGTTCTATAGCTCTTGTGTCAGAGGCTTTCTGCTGACCCAGAGAGCCTGGGTACACTTTTAGGGATCTCTCATTTATCCGTGTGGAGAAAGCATGTATACAGAAGGGAGAAGAGGGAAGACTAAGGTTTATGAAAAGGAGGAGACTCACACCTATGTGTATACACATATACAGTGAATTAGGACATCTGGGAGAGAAGTGGAGGCTACAAAGAGATCACACAAATGGGAGAAGGACCCACGTGTATGAAAATATATATAGCAGCTCTTTCTGTGGTGGCAAAGAATTGGAAATTGAGAGGATGCCCGTTAATTGTGGAACGGCTGAACGAGTTGTGGCATATGAATGTAATGGAATACTGTCGTGCTATAAGAAATGATGAACAGGCTGACTTCAGAAAAACCTGGAAAGACTTGTATGGTCTGATGCTGAGTGAAGTGAGCAGAACAGGAGAGCCCTGTACACAGTAATAGCCACGTTGTGCAATGATTAACTTTGATAAACTTAGCTCTTCTCAGCAATGCAAGGATCTAAGACGACTCCAGAAGACTTATGGTGTAAAATGCTATCCACATTCAGAGAAAGAACCATGGAATCTGAATGCAGATCGAAGCACACTATTTGCTCTCCTTTTCTTTTGTTGTTTTAGTTCTTCTTTCTCGTGGTTCCTCCCATTAGTTCTAATTCTTCTTTACATTATGACTAATGTGAAAACATGCTTAATGTGAATGTATAAGTAGAGTCTATATCAGATTACATGCTGTCTTGGGCAGAGGAAAGGAGAGGGAAGGGAAGAAAATTTAAAACTCAAAATCTTATGGAAGTGAATGTTGAAAACTAAAAATAAATAATTTAATTAAAAAAGAAAGAAGTGGAGGCTGAAACTTGCAGTGAGGGTGACTGCAGTAACATTCCTATAGCAATAAAGGTACCTTTCTTAGAGTCAGAGAGAGAGAGACAGAGAGAGAAGAGGAGACAGAGAGAGAGGAAAGAGAAAGAATGAGAGAGAGAAAAGAAGAGGAGAGAAGAGAAGAGAGAGAAAGAGAGAAAGTGAGAGAGAAGAGGAGAGGAGAGAGAGAGAGAGCGAGTGAGAGAAAAGAGAAAGATTGAGAGAGAGAAGAGAAGAGAAGAAAGAGAGAAAGGAAAGAGAGAGAGGAGAGGAGAGGAGAGGAGAGAGAGAAAGTTTTCTGAGAAAGAGAGAGACAGAGAGAAGGAAAGAGGAGAAGAGAGACACACAGTTAAGGAGAGAGAGAGAGAGAGAGAGAGAGAGAGAGAGAGAGAGAGAGAGAGAGAGAGAGAGAGAGAGAGAGAAAGGGAAGAGAGGAAAGGGGGAGAGACCTACAGACATAGACACACAGAGACAGACCGAGCAATATAGAGACAGAGACAGAGCACACCACACCCCTCCCCTAACCCCCTAGAAAGAAAGACCCTCCTCTACTGCTTTCACTCTTTGGGTTGATATTCTATTCCAGATAGCAGTGGGTGGCTGTTAGTGACAACCTGCCTTTTTGTGGTACAAATATGTAGTTTATCCTTTGTTGTTTCACAAATACATGGTTTTTATATAGTATTTTATTGCACCTTATCTCACATATTTCACAGAACAATCTTGAGAAATAGATGGTGCAGTAATTATTGTCCCCATTTTTTGGATGAAGAAACTGAGACTCAGGAGAAAAAACTTACCAAGGATACAATTTTTAATATGTCAGAGCTGGAATTTGAATCAAGGCCTTCTCTTCTAATTCCAGGCTCTTACAATTACACTGTGCATCTTATAATTTAGCTCACCTCTTGGCTCTCCTTAAATGGATTATCTGCTTTGTTCCTTTCATACTTTGCAAATTATCTTTAGCTAGGATTCCTATTCAAGGAGGGGACTAGATGATCTCAGAGGTTCCTTCCCAAATCAGAGATTTTGGGCTTTCTGAAATGCTTCTTCCTGTGACAAATGCCAGAGAAATCACCTTCTGTCTCAATTTTTTTTTCTCCTCCCCAGAGTCTGTGGTGGTATTTGCCAAGGAGCAAAACATGCAGAATGAAGTACAGGTAATATCTGGGGCCAGCGCCACCCTGAACTGTGAAGTGGCTCAGGCCCAGACAGAGGTGACCTGGTACAAGGATGGGAAGAAACTGAGCCCCAGCCAGAAGGTGCACGTGGAGGCCAAGGGCCAGGGCCGGCAGCTGGTGGTGCAGCAGGCAGGGAAGGCAGATGCTGGGGAGTACACCTGTGAGGCCGGGGGCCAGAAGGTCACCTTCCGTCTAGATGTCAAAGGTCAGTCCCTGAAGGCTCACTTCTTGGTTGTTCAGCTCTGGCTGGAGAGGAATCTTGATAAACCTCTGAGCTTCTCTTTATGACTAGTAGTATATCATATGTGTGTACCCTGGGTTAACCTCTGGACAGAGATGAGAAACAGAGAGCAGAAATACTTGGTGGGCAAAGAATAGCACAACATTGTGACTAACATGATAAAAAAGGATCTGAGTGTCTGAGTAAGCTTCTTCATTAACAGCTACTCTGTTAATCCCCCTAAATGGGGTAATTGGGGGACTGAATAAGGATGAAAGAGACAAATTCACTTGTCTGTTGGCACCACTATTTCACAACAATTGCTCTCTAAGTGGGTGATGTAGTGTTAAATCAATGACCACACAAGGAAGATGAAGGACTGTCTTTTCATAAAACTTTTGTGTCTGAAACCTCATTTATTGGAATGAAATTTGGGGAAGGGGGTGTAATAGCTGGCTTTTGGTTTCATGATTAGATACTAGAACAGGACAGTGGTCCCCAGGGTATTTAAAGGACTGTCCTAGGCCTTCAGGGTGGGGGTGGAGGTGGGGGAGGGAGGGTCCTCTGGCTTCAGGCTTGGTGCTGTAAGGACTAGAAGCTGGGATCCATGACCATTCATTATACTTGACCAAGACAAATTAGACAGTAATAGACTTTACCTTCAATTATCCTTGCTATTGAACGGGGCTAGGTGGCACAGTGGATAGAGCACTAGGCCTGGAGTAAGGAAGACTCCTTATTGCATTGGTAAAGGGATTCCCCCTCATCCACGAGTTGCCTATATCAGTAAAATCTGAAGCCCAGTCCCTGTCCCTATATCTCTATCAGACTCAAACATCAGAGCATTTTCATATGTATGGTTTTATTTTATCCTCTCAAAAGTCCCATGAGACAGGCAAGGCAGAGTTGATTATACCCATTTAAAAGATGAGGCCTAGAGGATTCAATGATTTGCCCACAGTCACACAGCTGGTCACTTCTGGAGACAAGGTGTGAACCCACGTCTCTCTCTTTTGACTTCAAATCGAACCCTTTCTACTGTGCCATGTTGCCTCCCTTACCAAAGAAGTGACACGGGCAGTCAGGGCCATAGGAAGGAGGACTCAGTGGAGTTACTCAGTCCACTCAGAGGAAAGAGACATCAGTGTAGACTGGGGTGCCCAGGAAAGATTTCCTGGAGGAGGTGGCTCAGAGAAGAGGAGAAGCTTACAGTCTCAGAGTAAGAAGGGAGCTGAGCGTTCTTCCAGGCCGGCCCTCCTGTGAGGTGACTATACTCTGGTGTCCACATTATGGTGAGGCTTGAAGGAGTTAATGTGTCTAAAGTACTTTGTAAACTTTGAGGTGCTGTGTAAATGGCAGGCAGTGTTACTATTTAAAAGGAGCCCTGTGAGCATAATGTGCTACAGTGGAAGGAGAGCTTTCTATCCATGTGACCTAGGACAGGTCCCCTAACCCTTCTGAACCTCAGTTTCCTCATCTGTGAAATGGAAGAGTTGGACAAGTTGACCACTGAGTTCCTTCCAGCTCTAAATCTGTGATCTCCTGATTGAGCATATCAGGACACTGAAATCCAGAGAAGAGAAGGGACTTGCCCAAGGTCAAGGTCAGCTAGTGAGTAGATTGCAACCCAGCCGCCTCGTATCTGGTGCTCTCCTTTCTGGACTGGGAGGATGCACATCAAGGAGGATGGGTAGTCAAGCTGGGACTGGATTATAGAGGGGACTTGGGGGAGACATTTGGTTTCCTGAACCAGCTACCCTATGGCCATATGAACTGGACTGTGGGCCTTCAGCATAGGTCCAGAAAGGTGATGGAAGTAAGAATTCAGAGAAAGAATTTCTCTTCTCCTCCCCCATCATCCTTTCCCTTCATATTACTTCAGATTCTGTGGTGGTATTTGCCAAGGAGCAGCAGACCCAGAACAAGGTACAGGCCGTGGCCGGTAGCAGTGCCACCCTGAGCTGCGAGCTGGCCCAGGCCCAGACAGAGGTGATCTGGTACAAGGATGGGAAGAAACTGAGCCCCAGCCAGAAGGTGCATGTGGAAGCCAAGGGCCGGGGCCGGCAGCTGGTGGTGCAGCAGGCGGGGAAGGCAGATACTGGGGAGTACACCTGTGAGGCTGGGGGCCAGAAGGTCACCTTCCATCTGGACGTCCAAGGTTAGTTCCAGAGTTGCTCAGTATAGCAGCCTGCAACTGAAGAACTTGGGGACAAATGACCTGTATCCTTAGGGAGACTGATTGAGGGGTGGAGGACATTTGCCTCTATAATCCCTGTCCTTGATAAGAGAAGGCCAGAGACTCTGACCCTGACCCCTGGGAGATAAGGCCTCTGGGCACCAGCTGGTTCAGCTCCTGAGAAGGAAGCATCTGTAGGGATTATAGTAACCAAACATGTGCCCCAAATTTCCCAGAACAACTCCATTAAAAAAAAGTATACAGAGAAATTTCCCTATGTAAGGCCATGTTCTCCAGTTTTTTTGTTTGGACAATATGGTCCTTGTAGTAGTGACTGCTCCATGAACCCTCCTCCACAAGGGAGGAGCTTTCCCAGTCTCTTCCTGGTTGTCCCCAGAATGAGCTTACAGAAGGAAGCTGCCTTACTCCTTGGCTCACTGGTACTAGGTCCTCAAGGTGGGAGAATCTCAGCTGTTTGTTCATTCGCCTCTTTGATGGATGAAACCATTCCAAACTGCCCAAGACTGAATATGCATGCCCTGGTGCCTACTCCCCACCCAAACCTCTGGATCCCCAGGGAAGAGTATCGGTGTTATTTCTCTCAGTAGACTAATTTTTAAAATGTTGAGGATGGAGGAGCCACATGGCCTGATTTGCCCCTAGCCTCACGCACCTCTAGAGATGGTCCTGACTCATCAGTAGTGAGGCTCCTGTTATTAAACTAAGCTTTACAGTGAGACCCCTGCAATTTTTCTTAAACTGGCCCAATTCCCAATACTAATACCACTTGCCCAGTAATGTCGGAATCAGTTCAGAGAATATAGGGCAGGGCAGAAGCTGTGGGTGTGGTCCAGTGACAGAAGCAGGGGCTCTGAAGTCAGAGTCCTGAATTCAAATGCTGTCTCTGACACCTATTACTTGTGTGACCACAGGAAGTCACTTAACCTTCTTAAGCCTCAGTTTCCTCATCTGTAAAATGTGAGGGTTGGATTAGATGATCTTTAAATTCCCTTCTGGCTATGAATGCAGGGGTACAGAGGAAGAGGAGTTATAGATGGTCAACTTGACCCAGAGGTGGGGTGGGCATGGTTTCTCATCTAGTTTTTGGTACTGTCTCTCCTCACTAGAACCGGAAACAAAAGCACCCGAGAAACCTGCCAAGAGGGAGCCGTTGGTGGTGCGGGAGCACGAGGACATCATTCTGTCAGCCACAGTCACGCCGGCCACAGCCACCGTCACATGGCTTAAGGATGGGCTGGAGATCAGGCGCAGCAAGCGCTATGAGTTTTCGAGGGAGGGAACCACCCACACCCTCACTGTGTATGGTGCCCAGACCCAAGACAGTGCCATCTATACCTGCATGGCCAACAAGGAGAAGCAAGACTTTCCCGTCCAGGTAGAAGGTGAGGTGGGCAAGCCAGAGAGTGAGATGCTCCCCCGGGTGCCTCCTGGCAGGGCGTGGGTGGGAGATGAGGCGGTCACCTAAAGGAGATCTGGAAGAGATCAGCCCCACATTGCACCCTCATGCCCTCTCTCCCAATTGTCCACAGAGGTCCCTGTGAAGTTTGCCCAGCCCCTGGAGCCAGTGAGTGGAGAGGTTGGGCAGACAGTGGTGCTGTCCTGTGAGCTGAGCCATGCACTGGGCAATGTGGTGTGGCGCCATGGCGGGATGGAGATCCGTCCAGGCAAGCGATTCCAGATGGCGTCAGATGGGCCCCGGCGCACCCTCACCATCATGGGACTAAGGGCTGAGGATGAGGGCGAGTACTGCTGTGAGAGTCGCAATGACAAGACCATCACCCAGCTCACAGCCATCGGTATGGGGGCTCTGTGTGTGTGTGTGTGTGTGTGTGTGTGTGTGTGTGTGTGTGAGACTACGTTCATGAATGAGTATGTATCTGTAAAATTACTTGGGACCCATGGCTCTCTGATGTTTGTGACATTGTACTAATCACATTATAGGCAATAATTAATAGGCCATAGGCACTTAATAAAAATTATTGGATGACATTACAGAAATGGAGGGCGGAGGTCACCAGTTCCAGGGGTATCTTGAAGCTTGAGGTGTGTTGAAGTGTCAGGAGAGTTCTCATGACTCTGGTTCCAGTTTCCAGGGAAGTGATGAGAACTGAAAGGAATTTACTCACCACAACCTAAATACCAGGTGGGCCTGGGTTAGGTTTTGGCAGCCAGTGCTAGGGCCATGCATACTACCTGGGGTTTCAACATTCTTGAAGGAAGCACTAGAGACATTAGAGCTGGATACCTTCACCTAGGTGTATGATAGCGACACCTGACTAAATGATGAGTGAAAGCATAAGGTGTGGTGGAATGAAAAGAGCCTCACAGTTGGATCTAGGATGCCTGGATTCGGCCTTGGCTGCTGTATGCCTTTGGGAAAGTTATTTCCAATTGCCGGGTCTCAATTTCCTCCTCTTTTGGTCTTATGAGAATATAAAATGTGGCTCTACATGTGTATTGAGTATGTATGTGTACTTACATGTGTGTGAATGTGTATGTCTGTGCATGATCATAAGTGTATAATTGTGGGGGATTGAAGGAGGAGGCTACGGCAGCGATGCTCTGCATTCTTAGCCCTTACCACAAAGCATATCATACAGTGACTGGCTCTACCCTTGTGGGGTGGGGGAGGACAAGTTATGATCTCAGAATGACGTAGACACTCAGGATGCACAGGTAACAGCTCACATTTGTAGAATGCTTAAAGGTCTACAAAGCCCGTACCTCACAACAGCCTTGTGAGAAATGTAGTAGTACAAAGGTTCTTGTCTTTAGTTTACAGAAGAGGAAACTGATTTTTTTTCCCAGGATCACACAGCTAGTAGGTATCAGAACTGCAATTCCAAACTTTTTGGCTCCAAGAATCTAACCAATGGGCAATACTGCCAATTTGTGTTCCTCTCCATTACCACGCAAAGAAGTGGACAGAACCAGAGTATGGTCATTTGGGTAGGGAGAGGTTAATGGATTTGCCCGTGGTCACTTAGCCTGTACGTAGTGGAACCAGATTCTCTGAGTCTAAATCCAATCTTCTTTCCATATTCAGACACCTATCTGGGCGAGAGGAAGAGCAGTTAGGAGATTTCCCTATTCAGGAGGAGGTCACTAGTACTCATCTGATTAGTTTGGGAGACCTCATAGAAGAAGTGGCATGTTGGAAATTGATTAAATGGTGGGAGAGGACCTGATCTCTCCCCATTCTTTGCCCTGCCTGTTCCCACTGCCTTCCCACCTTGGCTCTCAGTTCCCTCACAAAAGGTTTTCTATTTCCTCAGTCCCCCGAATGGTCACGTTCACATCAGGCCTGAGCAATGCGGTCTCTGAAGAAGGCTCCGAGGCCACGTTCCAGTGCGTCGTTGCCCCCAGCAATGCTGTGGTGGTCTGGAGTCGGGATGGTGTGAAGCTGGAGCCTGGAGCTAAGTATGTCATCTCTCAGAGTGACGCCAGCCACAGCCTCGTCGTTACCGCCCTGACCCTCGAGGATGCCGGCCAGATCACGGCCGAGGCCGAAGGGGTCACCACGACGGCCAGTCTCAGAGTCCGAGGTGAGAGAGACTTTATGTGGCTTGGTTTGGATGCAGCTGAGCCTCTCCAGGGGGGCTGCTGTCCTCTTACCAATGAGTGCCCTTTGTAGGCTGATTCAGAAGCCAAGCCAATGCTGCCAGCTGTTAAGTCTCTCTTTCTTCCCAGCTTGGCAAACTGATCTAGTCAAATCAGGCCAGGGTTGGGCATAGTGACCTAGTCAGGGCATAGGGAGAGACAGATTTAAGCCAGACCTTTAATATATTTAATTCACCAAGTTAAATTAAGTAAATATTTATTAAGCACCTACTATGTGCCAGGCTTTGTGCTTGGTGCTGAAGATACAAACAAAAAGTGACATAGTCCCTGCCCTCAGGGAGATTACATACCCTTGAGGGTGGCACATATAAGTATGTACAAAATTATCTATACAGTAAATAGAAGGTAAGTTTTGGAGGCTGGAGAAGGCACTGGAATCCAGAAATGCTTCATGGAGAAGGTGGTTCTCAAGCTGAGCTCAGTCCTCTGTTGGTATTCCCTCGTGGCATGGAGGGCACCCTGGGCCTTTGAAGACTTTGTCTAGCAGCCTGCAAACCCCAGCAAGTCCTGACAAGGTTTTCTAATAGGTTGGCAATTTGGCAAGGTAGAGTAATAGTTTGCTTATAGATTCAAGGTAGGAAGAGGATGAATGAAAAACTTTTACTAAGCATTCTCTTTGGATCAACACTGTCCTATGCACTGAGGATGTAAATTTAAAAAGAAACATAGTCCCTACCCTCAAGCAGCTTATATTCCAGTAGGAGAGACAGTGCCTACAAGGGGATGATGGCCCAGGAAGGGTGTTTTGCTTTGGGAAGTCACTAGAATGGTGAGTGAAGCCCTAGGGGAGTTGATTGACAGACTCTTTCCATCTGCAATGGCAATATTCATTTCACTGATTCTTAGAGCTAGTGGTAGGAAGCCAGTGGGGAGGTTGGAAGCTGACTGGAATGTGAAGCATGGCGGGGCTCTCTGGGTATAGTGGGCCATGAGCAGTTATACTAGCTCATTAACCAATCAGAACAGCTTGGCCCAAGGGTGGGAGTTCCAAAATGGGAATTCAATCCCCAAGGCATGATCTGTGGAGGCACAGGTGGGGTGGGAGGGCAGAATATGACTTGGGTAGATGGCTGCGTTGAAGTAGAAGCAGGGCTGGGGCTGGTTAGATATAACAGGGAACTTCCCTGTCTATAACTTAAGATATCATAATACAGACCACTGGGAAGATGCCCAGATACTTCTGCAAATGTGACTACTCAGGAGCTCCAGCTTGTCCTCTTCCTGGGGACTATTTGTGGTACTTGTCCAAGAGGAGCTGGCGAGGGTGGGCTGCAGCCTGACCTTGAGCTGGGGGACGGAGCAGGGAAGGGGGCCAAGTTCTTTTTACTCCAGAGTAACATTTGATTTTACAGATGCACCAGTAGAGAAGACAAAGCCCCCAGACATATCTGCATACGTCAATCAGAAGTCAGCCAGAATAGAACACAAAGGAGGGCTGGAACATTTAACAGAAGAGCATAAAAGAAGCCTGGACATTTAGATTGGGGCCAGATGTAGAGGGCCTTCATGAATGCCAGGCTAAGGACCCTGGACAGTGTCTTGTGGTCAGTGGGGAGCCAAGTATGTTGAGCATGGGGGTGATGTGATCAGAACTGCACATTAGGTAAATTAACTTGGCAACATTTGCAGAGAAGGAGGGAGGGAATAAGCATTTATTAAGCACCTACAGTGCACTACACCCTGAGCAAAGCAATTACAAATATAATCTCATTTGCAGAATGGATTAGAGGGTAGGCGCCTAGAGGCAAGAGAGACCAGTTGAGAGGACCAGTACAGTATTATAGCTGTAACAGGGTGACAGCCTGAACAAGGATGGCATTGTACATATCAAAACAGAGATACTTAGGAGTATTCCCCATCTTCAGGAGGGGTATATTTAAGACAAATATACACTAGGAGTGGAGTAGGGTGTCTTTAACCATAGAACATGCCTTTCCTTTTCTGGGACTCAAGTTTCCTTGTCTATGAAACTGAGATGGTTGGACTGAATAATCCCAGAAGTTATGCCCAATTATGAATTGTTCTTCCTCCTGTGAGTCTGGCCTCCTTAGAATCAGAGCGATGCTTGGGATGACCTCTTGGGCACTGCTCACTTGACGCTTTTGGCTTTCCTCACCCCCCAGAAGCCCCAGTGCTATTCAAGAGGAAGCTGGAGCCAACAACGGTGGAAGAGAAGGGTTCAGTGACATTAGAAGTAGAACTGACCAAACCTTGTTCTTCTGTGAGATGGACTCGGAACAGTGCAGCCTTGGTGCCCAGTGAGAATGTGGAGATCCGGGCTGAAGGCACCCACCATAGCCTGCTCCTTAAGAATGTGAGCTTCTCCGACCGGGGCTTTATTGGCTGCGAGACACCAGATGACAAGACGCAGGCTAAGCTCAATGTGGAGAGTAAGTGAGACTAGTCTGGAGGAGGACAATGGGTCTGTGTGGGGAGTAGGACAACAAAATGGGGCTGCAATTAATCCTTGGTGGAGTCAGTGAGCTCTGTCTCATTCTTACCGTCTGAAGCAATGTTGCTCATTTCTCTGGGTGATGAAGCAATTGGCATGGCCCCAGAGGAAAGGAGCATGCTGGGGGGCTCTATAACCAAGGAAGACAAGAAAGAAAGTCCTAGTAGTGGTCCAAATTCAGGGATGTTAGAACAATCAGGAAGAACACACCATGAAAGTGTTGGCAGGATGTGATGGGCTTATGAAATTTCTGTGAGTATTCTAGCCACATCGCTTTCCTCCATATGATGTGTACAGGACCCCTGTTCACTTCCCCCCTCAAGGAAAAAAAAGAGTAGATTTTCTCCCATAAAAAGCCAGGTCTCCCAACTGTTTCCATCCTGGAAGCACCACATTCCCCTGACTTTATTCTCTGCAATCCAGCACACACAGGCTACAAGCTTAGGGGATACAGAAAGATTTATCAGAGTGGGAGAATTCCAGCATCCAAAATATGTGTGGTCAATCCTTTTGTAGTAAATCCCATCACTTCATGCGACGAGGCTGTTGGAGTGCAGCTTCTTGTTCAGTTGGCATGGTCTTGGCTAGGACTCATAATTTCATTGGCATAGGGAAGTCCCTGTGTGGAAATTCCCCCCCACTGAGGGAGACCAGCAACTTGTCTGTAGCTTGAAGAGTTGCCCAGGGGGCCCTGAGAAGGTGAAGTGACTCACCTGTAGGCAGATGACAGCTAGTATGTGTTGGGCAGAACTTGAACCCAGGTTACCTGGACACTTTATCCATTATGTCATGCTGCCTCCATGGAAGCTAGGCTCAGTTTTAAAGCATTCAGCATTGTGGTTGCTGTACCCAAGAGTCCTGCCTGAGCACTGCCCTTTAGCCCTCTGGCTTCTACTCTAGACCTCACCTTTCCCATGAAAACACTAGACGTCTTCCAAATCACAGAATCTCCGATCTGGAAGGTACCTTGGCATCCATCTAGTCCAACTCATATGTGAAAAGAACCCCCATAGTGACACCCCCCAAAGTGGTCACCTAACCTTTGCCCAAAGACCTCTGATGAGGAGAAACTCTTTACCTGCCAAGGCTGTTCATTCCTCTTTACCCAGCTTTAATTATTAGGAAATATTTCCTTAACAAACTGAAGTTATGTTACAATTATAAATTTATCATAATAGATACCATATAATAGATTTATTATACTAGATATAATAATAGATATTAAAGATAATAGATTTATTGTAATAGACTTATATATAATATAATGGATATTGTAATGAATATATTTATTATAATAGATATTATAATAACTATAATAGATATTTATTAAAATAGATATACTAGATAAATAGATATTTATTATAATAGACATTAATTATAAATTATAACAAAGTCCTTATAACTTTCCCCTATTACTTTTAGAGCCTTCTGACTTAGTCACTTTTGGTAAGAGCTCTCTCTCATACCCTAGGCTCTTTTTTTTTTTTTGGTCCCCTTGGCTCTCCCCCATTATTTCCCAATACTCCACTCTGAAACTGGTTACAATTTCTTTCACTCAGGCTTTTGTAATGTGCATCTCTATGGTTAAGACAGTTCCCATTCGCTTCCAAGGACAGACAAGTCATACCCAGCTCATTTGAAAATTTGGAAGAACCAATTTCTTTCTCAGGGAACTCTCCTAGTGATGCTTGGTCTGTCTTTGCTCTTCCCCTCTCCCCTTTTCCCGTGTAGTGCGTCAGATCCGGCTGGTACGAGGCCTGCAGGCCATAGAGGTGCGGGAACAGGAGACAGTGTCCCTGGAGGTAGAGCTCTCACACAGCGATGTGGAAGGCTACTGGACCCGAGATGGCCTGAAGCTCAAGTCTCAGAATAACTGCTGTATCACAGTCCAGGGTGTGATTCACAAACTGACCCTGTCCTCCCTGGGTCTGAAGGATGCTGGTCTCATAGTCTTCAAGGCAGAGGGTGTTCACACATCTGCAAAACTCACTGTCCTTGGTATGGCCATCACTGGTCTTGGTCTTGGAGGAGGGGTGGCAATGAAGGGGAGCTATCCACACATCCAGGCCGTTTATGATTATTGGTAGGACTGGAGTGGAAGAGTGTGTCTGCACATCTAAACAGGCCATAGTCACATTTTCATAGCCTGGGGAAAGGTATCCCCATATTTATTTTGTTGGTGGTCAAGAGCCCCCTGTTTTATGAATTTTAAAAAAACTGAGACAAGTATGGTTTATATGACTTCCCTAAAGTCATGAAATAAGTTGAGCTGAGTTGGGAGAACCAGGTCTCAATTATATAGGGATAGGGACAAATACCACTGGCTCCTTAACTTCCTCACACTTCTTTGGGGATGGGATGGGAGGAAAGTATTTACCTAATCCCTATTTCCTCCCCTCCCTGTCTCTCAGAGCTTCCTGTGAAGTTCAGCCATCCCTTGCAGGACATTGTGGCTACAGAGAAGGAGAAGGTCATTTTGGAGTGTCAATTATCCCGGGCCAATCATGATGTCAAGTGGTTGAAGGTACCCTATGATCCCTGGACCTGTTTCTTCCACCACTCCCCCTAAATCCCTAGCACTAATCGACAACATTATTCTCTCCAAGTGGCCTAGGCCACCTTCCCAGCTCTGGGATGCCTTTGCCTCCCCTCTCACTGGAGGGCTGTAAGCTAAGTCTAGGTGACCATTCATAGTAGAGGACTCTTTATTATGTATGAGTTGGTCTAATGGGCCCCAAGTTCTCTTCTAACTCTGAGATTGTGTGAGTCTGTGGGAAACACTTGTTATAGTGATGAGGGTCAGTCCAGAGCACAAGGGGAAGGAATAATGCTGAAGTTAATGGTGGTTGGGGCTGGGGGAAGCTATATCAGGGAAGAAGGCTTAGCATCAGGAGCGTGGGAAGCAGCCCAAAGAGGAGGGGTCATTGGTGGGGCTGGAGAGGGGAACTGGACAGTTCCAGCATATACCTCCTTGGGTCTACTTTTGATACATGTCTTTCCTCTAGGATGGAGTGGTGCTTCAAGCAGGGAAAGCACTGGGAATTGTTTCCCAGGGGACCAAGAGGAGCCTTGTCATCCACAAGTGTGAGTCTGGAGACCAAGGTACCTATGTATGTGACGCTGGTGATGCCAAGACTTCAGCCACGCTGCAGGTGCAAGGTAAGGCTCAACCTGTGTAGCTGTGAGCAAACCACTTCTTTCTGAGCATCACTTTCTTCATCTGCAGAATATGGGTGGCAGAACTTACACAATCATCCTCCAAGATCTATTGTGAGGAAGGTGCTCTAGAAATAGAAGTTGTTTTATTATTAATAACAATTATTATTATTTTAGCAATAATAATAAATGGTAGAGTCATACAGATTGATTTATGGAAACAGAAATGGTTTATGATAGCAATTTGCAATCAGATTGTTGCCACCAGAAATTAAACAAAGGATATCTTTAAGGAGCCCAGAATTATTAATTAATGCAGATTATGCAAAGAAATGGTAGAAGTGATTTATGCAAACAGATCACTGCATATTGCAAAAATTTAGCATTTACTGAATACCTAGAAAGTTACAACTAGGTGGCTGGCATCATACATCAGAAGATTGTTATCCTTTATAAACTGACAGAAAAGAAATCCTCACACTACAAATATAAACCATGAGAATTCAACAAATAAACTTTGCTGAAACTAGAGCATCATTGCAAAAAGAATCAAAGAGGAAGAATGGGTATTGAATAGAAAAGGGAGAGAGGAGAAGGGAGTAGGAGGGAGTAAAGAGGCTGGTTGAAAGGAGGTAGGAAGGGAAGAGAATGGAAGGAGAAGGCAGGTGGAGGAGGGAGAACTGAGGACCCTGTCTTGGGGTGAAGAATTCTGCCCTCCATGGGGACAGTCTTGGTGTGTAAGGAAAGGGAAGAGCCTTTTCTGCAGTAAAAGAGCAGCAAAGAGAAAAGGCTTGTTAATATATGAGGAAACGGGAGTCAAAAAAGTGAGTGCCCTGAGGATTGAGAGAGAGCCTTGTCTGCCAGGGGTAGAGCAGAAGGGAGTCCAATCATGCAGAAGTTAGCCGCATTTAAGAGGGGCTTAGGTTCATTGTCACAGATGTGTTGCTGAATTCTACACGTCTGGGCACGATACTTTCCCTCCGTTTCTGGATGTAGCATCAGCAGCAGCCTTTCTGGCTGGAGCCACACTAACCTTGTCGATGAGGGAGGAAGGAGGGAAAGGAAGACCAAAGGAGTCATGTGGTCATGGAAGAGCATGCGGGTTCTGGGTCCAGAGAGAGAGAGAGAGAGGGAGGAGCTGGCTTTCAGTCCTTCAACAAAACAGACTAGATAACTTCTAAGGTCCCTTTTAGCTCTGATTTTCTATGTTCTAAGGTCCCTTCTGGCCATGACCTTCTGTGTTCTAAGGTCCCTTCCAGCTCAACATTCTATGTTACAAAATCCTTTCTACCTCTGATGGTCTGTGTCCTAAAGTCCCCGCCATTTCTGATATTGGGTTCCAAGGTCCCCCTCTCATTTCTCACATCCTGTTTTGTAAGGTCCCTTGCCATTTCTGATACCACATTCAAAGATCCTTGCAATTTCTGACATTCTTGGTTCTAAAGTCCTTTTCCTTTCTGAAATTCAGCATCTGTGCATCCCCCTCCTCTTATTCTAGGCAGGAACATACAGATCGTGAAGCACCTGGAGGATGTGGAGGTGATGGAGAAGGAGAGTGCAACCTTCACCTGCCAGATCTCCCATGATGAGGTGCAGACCCAATGGTACAAGAATGATGGCAAGCTCCGGCCTGGGGACAACATCAGGATGCGCCAGGAAGGTAGGGAAAAGTTGGAGGTGTGAAGTAGGTGGGCAGGTGCGGGGGAGAAGGTGTGGGAAGCTAGAGAAGCTAAAAAGGGGCCCCGTGGCCAATCTTAGCATTTCTCAGCTTGTTCCTGAGGGGAGGAGGGTGGATTTCTCATAACATCCAGCTCCATAGCCATCCTCTTCTGCACAAGGATTCCTAGAACCAGGGTAGGGATATTATCAGCTCAGAACTCCACAAAATTCCCACTGCACCAAGCCAGTGGGCAGACTCTGGGGAAGGATGAGGGACTGATTCAGGGAACAGGGCCAAGGAAGAGGAATCCTCTACTCTTTTGAAGAATTTGAGCTGACCCTCTTCTGTAGTATTTCCAGGCACTCACCCATGGGAGACAGGGGCCATTATAGAAGGATGTTCCAGGGTGAGAAGGCAGCTGGGTCATAGTGGTGAAATCTGTAGAAGTAGAAGAAGAGGGGGGAACGAAACGCTAACATTTATCAAGAGCTTACCATGTTCTGGGTATGGAGGGAGATAAAAAAACAAAAAACCTACCCTCAAAGAGCTCACATTCTGATTGGGGAGATAAGACACACACATACACACACACAAACACACACACACACACACATGCATACACACATATGTCACCATAATCAAAAGTAGAACATGACAGTGCTGTGAGAGCTCTTAGCAGGACAGATCGTTTCTAGTGGGGGGTGGTATCAGGTGGCAATGCAATGCCAGCTTCATGGAGAAAGTGGCACCTGAGGTGAGTCTTATAGGATTTCAACAGGTAGAGATGCAAGTGGAGGAAAGTGTGGGCATTCAAGACATGGGAAATGCCATGAATAAAAAGGTGCATGGGTGAAATGGAGTGGGATGTTTTGGGGTGGCTATAGTCTAGTTTATCTGAAGTGTGGAATATTTGAGAGTGAATAGTGGGAAATAAGACTCAAAAAAGCAGAGGGAGAGAGGTGCCAGGTTATGGGGGGACCTGGAAGACCAGGTTGTAGCATTTGGACTTTCTTCAGTAGGCCTTGGGAAGCTATTGACAGTTTTTGAGTAGAGGAAGAAAAGAAGGGAGGTTCCCATCTTTACTTTTACACAAGAAAGATCTCATTTCTGACTTGTGTCAGTGAGGTTTTGCCAGTTTTCCTTGCTTCCCAGGGGGTCTAGACCGGTGATTGGGTGGGTGGTGAGAATGGGAGGAAGGAGAAGCAAAGGGTCTATTACTGCCACTCCAGATCTACTCTTGGGGAATTTTGAATATTATAATTGGTTGTGGAAGTGAAGGAGAGAGAAAGGGGAACTGAGATAGAGTCTGACTCACCCCATGGCTGACTTAGTAAAGTTATTGAACCCTTTCTTCATAGAGACAGGGGTCTGCTCTTATGACCTTGACTGGACTGTATAGAACATTAACCTGTAAATTTCCTAGAACACAGGGGCTCACTACTCTGTAAATTTGGCTATTATCTAATAAAGGACTTCATGGCAAAACAAAGAATAAAGGTGCCACTAAATCTGCTTATGAACTGAATTTCCAACTTGACTCTGAACTCTTCTGGGCTAGTGTCCAGACCCTAAAGCATGTGCTAGGTGTAACAAACAGGCTAACATTCACACAGTCTTTTGTTCAGTACTTTATATGCTGGGGTGTCACGTCTATGAGCTGAGGCAGCAGGCAATTACCAAGGGCTAGCCTGGGCTCAAACATAGTCTTCCTCTCCAGGAAAGACCTACTCCTTGCACTACTGGAAAGTCATGGTAGAAGATGCAGCAGAGATCAAATTTGTGGCGGAGAATGCAGAATCTCGAGCCCAGCTCATAGTGAAAGGTGAGGAGTGGGATGAAGGAAGAGCAGACTGGTGCTACAGACCACAAGGGGAGGGTGTGCCTCTCGAAAATGAGCGTGTGCCCAAACTCAACCTGTGTGATTCTACATATGGAAAAGTGAAGGAAACCCACCACCATCCTAAAGTAGTGAATATATGTCAGGAAAGCAGCCTGGCAGAATGGAGGTGCTCAAGAAGACTCAGGTTCAAATCCTGCTCTGACTCTAAGTGTTTCTGTAGCAAGTCACTTAAATTCCCCAAGCACTGGATGACTCAAAGACTACACATTTCTAAAAAAATTAAATGAATAATTTTCAGTGATCAAAAATTATTTTTTCTACCTTCTACCTCCTAGACTCATAAAAAAGAAGACAAAGTAATGATAAATATGCATAATCAAGCAAAACAATGATTATAAGTTATAGATGGGTCACAGTTTTTGCCAATGGAAGGAGTTTATATATATAAAATCGGAAGTTCTTGATGTGTGGACAAATATACCTCCCAAGCTAATTGCCAGCCACAAGGAGGCTAAAGGGAGGTCTATGGATAAGGAAGAAGACAGCGTGAGAACAGATAGAAAGAAAAGAAGATAGAAAGAGAAGGGGTTTTGCCGTAGTAGCAGGGACTGAAGAGGGAAAATAAGGAAATGTGATGTTCTGTGTCCACTGGAGGAATAAGGAAGGGGGATGGGTAGTCTGTGTCCATTGGAGCAATTAGGAATGGTTTGCATCCACTGGAGAAATGAGGACCTTACTGAATTTTGGGGACCCTTCCCCTCTCTCCCTTTCCCTTCCTCAGAGCTGCCAGTGGTGATTGTGCGGCCACTGCGGGACAAAATTGCTATGGAGAAGCACCGGGGAGTGCTAGAATGCCAGGTGTCACGGGCTAGCGCCGAGGTGCGATGGTTCAAGAAGGATGTGGAGCTCCATGCTGGGCCCAAATATGAGATGGTCAGTGACGGCATCTATCGGAAGCTCATCATCAGTGATGCTCGACCAGAGGATGAGGATACATATACCTGTGATGCTGGCGATGCTAAGACCAGCGCTCATTTCTATGTGGAAGGTACTAGGGGAATGTACTGGGCTCGGGTGGCAGGGGTGGGGGAATGAGATTTCCCTTGTCCTTTGGGTCTTTGGGAAAGGCTAGGTGACTGGGTCTTCTGAGTCTCTTTCCTCTCTGTTTCTCCTTCTCCAGTGCCTCTGCCAACCACCCCCCATCACCTAGGCTTCACTGTCAATGACTCATGTCCACAGTTTTGCCTCCTTTCTCCCTTCCCCACTACCTCCACCAAAACTCCCATTTCCTTAGTATAGTAATCTCACCTAGTTCATAGTAACCTGATAGAATTATTTACACTGAAGTGTGCATGGCTACAGTCAACAAAACTTTCACCTAAAGGAATGAATCTCTAAGGGTGGAATTTTAGGCACTGAGGTAGTTTGGGGAGGGGTTTCTGTGTTGGGAAAAGGGGAGTGCCTATGTGGGTGGCCATTTATCTCATTTATAGGCAAAGCCAACCTTACTTCTTAATGTTGATTATGGGGAGATGGAAAACTTGCTTGTCCAGAGAAAGTAAAGTTTGACTCCTGTCCTCTCTCTTCCCCTCCCTTTTCCCTGAAGAACAATCCATTACCATCGTACGGAACCTGAAAGACGTGGAAGTGATGGAACCAGCTCCAGCCTGGTTTGAGTGTGAGACCTCCATCCCATCTGTCCGTCCCCCCAAGTGGCTGCTAGGCAAGACAGTTCTGCATGCTGGGCGAGATATCACCATCGAACAAATGGAGACAGTCCACCGTCTGACCCTGCATCGCACCTGCTCCACCATGACGGGCCCTGTGCACTTTACCATTGGCAAATCCAAGTCCACAGCTCAGCTCATTGTTTCAGGTAACTCCTGCCTCCTGCCATGTCCCAAGACCAGCTGGCCTATGCTTGAAGATAATGCCACAGTATCTGCCTTTGCTGTCACTCCATTCAAGGACTTGCAGAGGGGGGTCTTCCTGGGGCTTATATCCCTTGAACCAGCACCCTGTCCGTTCTTCTTTCCCTCTGCTTCCCCCTCAGTAACAGGCCATGGATGTCAATGCAGTCTCACATTAGGTGTCTCTAGTATAGAAAATCTCCATTACCCCAGGTGTGTGGATAGATCAACACACAGATTCATTCAGGTCAACAATCACAGTCTCCTGGCTTCAGGTCTCTTCCTACCCCAATTCATCCTCCACTCAGCTGTCAAATTGATTGATCTTCCTAAAACACACATCACCCCGCTTATTCAGCAAACTCCAATGGCTCCCTATTACCTCCAATGTCAAATATAAAATCCTCTGCTTGACATTCAAAGCCCTTCATACCTGGCCCCTTCTTACTTATCTAGTCTCCTTATACCTTTTCCTTCTTCACATACTCCTACGTACTTTGTGATCCAGAGACACTGATGGCCTTGCTGTCAGACACAACACTCCATCTCCCAACTCCAGGCATTTTCACTGATTGTAGAGACTAGAGAGAAGATTTATTTCAACCTCTTAATTTTGTAGATGAGGAAAAAGAGGCTTGTTAAGTGGAGTGACCTACTTAAGGTTAGTCACACAACTTGTAAGCAAGCAGACTTGAACTCAGATCTTGGCACCAGAAGATGAGTAGGTCTTAGATGGGCAGAGATGAATGGATGGCTAATTAGGAATGGCATTGGCCTCTGAGCTCTTCTCCGTAACTCCCCTCAGTTAGAATTCTGTCCCTCTCCACTTGCTATAACTTGATTCTCTATTTTGAGGTCAGTAGTGGAGGGAATGGTTAGCTCTATGGTACTAATGAGGCCAAAGTTCCAGGCTTAATTGCCCATCTGGTTTAGTTAGCTTTGGACAACAGCAACAAAAAACCCACCAAACAAACAGATGAAAACTGTTTTCTAACCGTGGCCGTGCCTGACCACCTCACTGATAGTCAGGCAGGGGCATTATCTTTCTAAGGAATGAGGACAAAGTGGTTTCTTCAGTGTGAGTCCTCTCTCTGGTGATACAGAGTGCAGCCCTTCCCATCTTAGGGCAAAGTCTTTATGATCTTCCCTAGCCAAAACAATTCCCCTACCCCCCACTCCCGATGGCTTTAGAATCAGGGCATGTGGATACAAATACTGCCTCTGATGTTTGCTACATAAGTAAAATCACTCAAATTCCTTAGATCTCAGATTCCTCACACATTAAACACATGGGGACTGGACTAAATGATCTCTAAGGAACTCTCTATCTTTAGATCTGAGATCCTATTCCCTGTGAACCTGTTGGTGATGACCACCTGAATAATGCTTAGCCAGATTCATTCTCAGAATGCAAATACACAGCCCATTACCAGGCTTGCATGCAAAGATTCTGCCTTTTGGCAAGAGCTGCTGGAATGTATGTTCCTTTGGCATAGTTTTCAGGGTCACCTCTGGGTTCCAAAAAGAGTTTGGGAATGCCATTAGTGGAGACATAAAAAGGATAGTACATTACATTACAGATGAGGAAATGGAAGATCCAGAAGGTTCAATGATTTGTTACCATTGTCTGGGTGGATTCTCTCCCCTGTACCAGAAGGGGAGGTAGGCACCAGGGTCTAGCCTGTTGGTTGCTGAGCCATTTTCATTTCTATGCTGGTCTGTCTTTCAGATATCCCTGTGCTGCTGACCCGGAAGATGGAGGACAAGACTGGCCGGGAGAAACAATCTGTGGTCCTCTCTTGTGATTTCAAGCCCGCTCCTAAGGCAGTGCAGTGGTACAAGGATGACACCCTAATTGAGCCCTCTGACAAATACAAGATGAAGCTGGAAAATCACATGGCAGAGCTGAGGATCCTGAAGCTCACACCTAGCGATGCTGGTGTCTACCGGTGCCAGGCGGGCAACGCTGACAGCAGTGCCACAGTCACTGTGGAAGGTATGGCACTTGGTGGGGACAGGGGCACAGGGAGATGACAAAGCAGAATGGGTTGAGGAAACTCTCCATTGACCACGTGCCCTGTTCTACCTATGGAGCTTGGCAGAGAAATTGAACCATCTTGACCATTTCCTGCATCTGTCATCCTGAAACCAGGAGAAGGGTGGCCCTCTAATCTGTGCGGATGTCCTACTTAATTACACAGTGTCTGTATATGGGATGCAACAGCCTTTTGGGCACATCCCTGATTATAGACCAGGCCGGTAGACTCCCACCTGAATAAGCATTTTCAGGATCAGCAAAAGTCATTTGTCCAAGGTCATGGCTGCTCATTGCCTTAAGCTCAGTGTGGAGTAACCCTCTCTCCACTCCCACTGTGGACTGCTGATTCCTTGCGTGAAACAAGTTGTTGTGACCTGAAGCACCCAAGAATTTTTGGTCCAAGTTGTTTTTCTGATGAAGTTCTGTGTGTTCTTGCTCCTCAGCCTACTATATTCCTAATTCCTCCTTCTTTTTCTTTTTTGATTTTTCTTTTTTTTTTACATGCATGTTACTTCCACTGGCTCCTCCTTTCCCCACTCCACCCCCAACAGAACCTTCCACTATGACAATTAAGTTTAGTTTAACACTTTGTCCTTATCTGTAAACGTATCTCTCATTCCACACCTATAATCAGTCCACTGCCTCCCTGCCAGATGGCAAGAGGCATCTGTACTTAAGTTTTAGAATGATTATTGGTTCCTTTCTCTGGAGGCTGGACTATGGTAATCCTTGTATGTTCTGCCTATTTTTATTGACTTTTCTTCTGCCTGGTCCCAGTCCTACTTTCTACCTATTTAGAAATTGGGATAGTTTTCAAAATAATAATTTCATTAAGACTCCCTTGTGTCAGGCTGGGGATGGACAGATGGGTTTAGAGCCCACTGCTGCTTCTCTGCATCTCCAGAGTAAGGAGAGTCCTGGTTATAGGTCCCCTGAGAGCTTATTCCTTATAAATAGATGAGTGTGGGTGTGCCCCATCTGTTAAGAGGGCCAGAGGACAGGAATGGCTAATAACTTAACCTCTTCCTCCCTTGCTTTAAGCCACTGAGTCTTAAACATTTTGAAAAGAGGCTTCCAGTCCTTCCATTCTCACTTTTGCATTCCCTCCCTCCTCCAAGATATGGGTGTGGATGTCAGTTGCTTCTGAGACATTGATATGTTACTTTCACTGTGAGCTTAGGCATGCAGGTGGCCTATGCTGGTGCGCCCTCTCCCACCGCTGTTGCATATCACATGGTAACATCTTCAAGAATTACTCTGGCCCCCAAAATCCATCGCTCTGAAGTCAGCCTGGTGATGAGTGTCTGAACTTAGCCTGGCTGGTCCTCAGGTGAAAGACGTATGGTCACAGAACCGCAGAATCTTAGAGCTGGGACTGACCTTAGGGGGTCATCATTAAGACCCAGTTCTGCATTTTATAGGTGAGGCCATTAAGGTACAGAATAGTTAGGTGACTTGTCTAGGGTTACACAGTCAGTAAGAGTCTGAGGCAAGACTCACTCTGATTTCAAGCATGGTTCTCTATCCACTATGCCACTGCTTTGTCCATGTCACCAGACCCAAATTCGAAGCCTTTCCAGGCTCCATGTTCCATTAGGAGCATAGTGAGGCCTCAGGGAGGACTTTGCAAGAGAGGCTCCCGTGCTTTCTATAAATTGTGATCTCTGCCCACCCCTACTTATAACTTACTTGGTTCCTGAGTCTCTTCCATGTGTCTCCTCCGACCCTGAGCAGCTCGTGAAGTAGCAGTGATACGGCCCCTTCAGGACGTGGAGGTGATGGAGGAGGGCAGTGCCAGCTTCTCGTGCGAGCTGTCTCATGAGGACGAGGAGGTAGAATGGCTGCTGAATGCGACATTGCTCTATAATGACAGCTTTCACGAAATCAACCACAAGGGAAGCTGCCATACGCTGGTGCTTAAGCATGTGAGCCTGACGGACACAGGCACTGTGAGTCTCAAGTCAGCCAAGGTGTCCCAGTCAGCCCGGCTGATGGTGAAAGGTGAGAAGGGTTTGTGGGTAGAGTAGGGGGACTGCCTTCTGACCAAGTAACCCTGCACCTCTTTAGAACTCTGTTTCTGATGTGGCCCCTGGCTTGCTCTGAGGGAAGAGAGGGTCCTCATGAGGCAGGGATGGCAACAACCGCCCCTTGGCTGAGCTGTTAGGGAGGTACCCCCCAAGGATTTTTCCAAGCCCTCGTTCCAGAGACCTGGGTTCTGTTCCCAGCCCAAGTACCCTCTCAGTAGAGTGAGGGGCCTTCTGGTTGCAGGGGGGAGGGCAGCCTGGGTTTGAGAGCCTCTCCATCCCCTTCAGAAATTCCAAGTTCAGATTCAATCCTGCTCTCAGCCTGTGTGGATCTAGACTGGAGAGAAATCTCATCATTTCAGTCTAGAACCTGCTCCCAAAATGACCCAACCCCTTATTCAAGATGTGAGGTCCACAACTGTTGGATACCTACTGTGTGCCCAGTACTGGAGTAGGCTGTGCTATCAGCAAAACCAGGAAAAGACTTGGTGTATATATACCTCAGAGAGCTCACAGTATAAGTGGGGAGACAAGACACATCTAGAATAGTTAAAATGAAAGTCCATGACAGGTAGTACCCCTGATTGCATTAAATGCTGTTGCAATTAGCATTTTACATCCTTATTTTACTTAAAACCATCCAAGGAGCATTTTACTGGGAGGCAAAATAAGGGAGAGATAAGATGTGAGTGAGGTGAGTTTGGGAAGGCTTCCCAGAGGAGGTGAACTTAGGTCAGATCAAGGATCACCTCACTGAGCTATTGTGAGGAAAGCTCACTGTTCTGGATTTGGAGTCAGGAAGACCTGAGTTCAAATCCTGACTCAGACATTTCTTGGCAGGTAACCTCTCTTAGTCTCAGTTCACTTAATCTGTAAAGTGGGAATAAGAATAGCACCTACCTCCGAGGGTTATTATGACGATCACATTAGGTGATGTAATACATGTAAAGTGATTTGCAAACTTTAGCTGTCTTTATTGTAAATCTGAGACAGCTGTGCTGTAATGATAATTGACATTTGTGTAGCTCTTTGAGGTTTACAAAGTGTTCCACATATCTCATTTGGCATAATAACGCTGTGAAGTAGGAGCTGATTATGGCCCATTTTACAGATGAGGAAACTGAAGTTCAGGGTCATATAGCTATTAAGTGTCAAAGTCAGGATTCAAACGCAGAACTTCCTCACTCCAAGTCAAGAGTTCTTTCCACTATCCACTCTCAGAGGGCCTGAGTTTGAGTCCTGGCTCCACAACTTACTTACTAGCTCTGTGACTCTGGGCAGGTACTTTTCCCTTTCTGAACCTCAGTTTCCTCATCTGTTAAGAAAGTGTTTCATCAGCCTTAACACACAATAGAAATCGGGGCTGCTGTAATGGATTAGGGAGGCAGAGGTAGGAGGAATAGAGGCTGGTGGTGGGCATGGCAGGAATAGTTTGAACAAGAGTTTGGGGACGAAGTAAGGCATATGTGGAACAGAAAGGCTGGATTCAAGGGGGGATGGGTGTGGAAAGGCCTTGAATATCCCCCTCCTTTGCTCTCTGATGCCACTATTTCAGAGAACCAGGAAAATCCTTTTGTAGATAGAGAGGGAGTGGGAAGCAGGATCTGTGATTCAGACTAGAAGGCAAATGACTAACTAGTTTCTAAGAGGGCAGCAAGCACCTCACACGTACCCTTTCTCTGACCCTCCAGAGAAGCCTGTGGTGTTTCTCAAGCCCCTGGATGACATGGCAGGTGAAGAGAGGGGCCAGCTGGCTCTGGAATGTGAGGTCTCCCACCCCAAGGCTCAAGCCATCTGGAGAAAGGATGGTGTGGAGCTGGGCCCCAGCGACAAATATGATTTCCTGCACACTGACCGTACCCGAGGCCTTGTGATACATGACCTGTGCCGGGACGATGCTGGCCTCTACACCTGCGACATCGGCAGTGACCTGACCCGCTCCCAAGTCAGCGTGCATGGTGAGTGGCCTGCGTGGGAGGGTGGTCAGAGGACCTGGGCTCAAATCAAAAACTCAGAATCTGAGTCTCGGCCTCCTCATCTGTAAAACAGAAAGGATATCGCCTACTATCTCCTGCTCTTCCCACCTCGAAATGATATTATAAGGAGCAGACAAAATCTCTCAGAGAATCAAAAGATCTAGGCTCATGTCTCTGCATTAAAACATGTGTTAAGTAGAACTTAGAGGTGTCAGACTCAGGAGCGAATGGCCCCCAAACCAGTGCATCCCCAACCAGATGGAAATGTTTAACAAAACAAATAAAAATGTAATGCCCCGCAGTTAATGTTAATTTGTGGTTTTCTAAGTCGGTATGCCACTGCAGGGATATCCTTTTATTTGAGTTTGGCACCACTAAAGTAGGTCATTTCCTGCCTCTGGGTCTCAGTTTCCTTATTGTAAAATGAAAGGATTAAACCAGATTATCTCTAAGATTCCTCCCAACTTTAAATCCTATAATCCTATAAGGTGGTGCTAATAATATTTGCAGTCTCTACCTCACAGGGGTCATAGAATCACAGATTCTGTTACTAGAATCTAGAAGGGACTTCAGTAGCCATCTAGTTTAGTCCAACCCCCTTATTTTACAGATGAGGAAAGTTAGGTGATGCAGTGGATAGAGCACCTAGAGCCAGAGTTCAAATCCCCACTCAGACACTTACTAGCTGTGTGACCCTGGACAAGTCACTTGACCCTGGACAAGTCACTTTACCCTGTTTGCCTCAGCTTCCTCATCTGGAAAATGAGCTGGAGAAGGAAATGGCAAACCAGTATCTTTGCCAAGAACATCCCAGAAGGGGTCAGGAGGAGTCGAACACAACTGAAAACGACTCAACAACAATAACAAAAACTTGCCCAAGGTCACACAAGTATCGTGTAGCTGTGCTGGGATTTGAGTGCAGGCCCCTTGCCTTTAAATCCAGAGCTCTTTCACTCTGTGAACATTAAAGTCCTATAGACATGTGAACTCTTGCCATTATGAAGAAGAAACCCTGTCGGATCTGCTTTCACAAAGAGCAAGCATTCTTTACAATTAACAAGATGAAATTGATGTCTCTGGGCATTGCCGTGTTCTTTATGTTTGAAAGTTTTTAGTGTAGCAGAACAAACATTGGATTGGGAATTAGACCTGGATTTAAACCCTGGCTCTGCTCCTTGGATGATTTTAAGTAAATCACTCTTTGGACCTCAGTTTCCCACTCTGTGAAATGAAGATGGTGTCTCTTTCAGCTCTATGAGCTTATGATCCTGTGACTCACTCAAAGAGGCTGAACATTCCCAAGTGCTCAGCAAACCCTTTGCTCATTGGGAGTGAGAGCAAAGGAAATCTAGCCCAATTCTGCATGGGCACGGACCCTGCTTTCATCCGAATCTTTTTTATTTTTATTTATTTTTATTTATTTATTTTTAGGCAATTGGGGTTAAGTGACTCACCCCGGGTCACACAGCTAGTAAGTGTCAAGTGTTTGGTCTGAGGCGGGATTTGAACTCAGGTCCTCCTGACTTAAGGGCCGGTGCTCTATCCACTGTGCCACCTAGATGCCCCTTTCATCCAAATCTTATGTCTTCTCTCCTTGTCCCTCCAGACCTGCACATTGGCATCACCAAACGATTGAAGACCACAGAGGTGCAAGAGGGAGAGAGCTGCACTTTGGAGTGCATCCTGTCCCACCAGAGTACTGGCGATGTGGGCACGTGGACAGTCAATGGGAAAGACGTGGGCAGCTCTGGCCGCTTCCGGGCCTCATGCCAAGGCCGGAAGTACATCCTCACACTCCAAGATGCAGCAATGTCGGATGCTGGTGAGGTGGTGTTCACTGTCCGTGATCTCACTTCTAAAGCCTCCCTGATCATCAAAGGTAGGACCTGAGGCCCTATTGTAGAGTCTCTCCTTGTTCTGTTCTATTTCTTCCTTTCCTTTCTCCCCTCTCTTCCTTTACCATTCCTCCCTCCCTCTGTTCTGTTCTATTTCTTCCTTTCCTTTCTCCCCTCTCTGCCTTCACCATTCTTCCCTCCCTCTGCTCTTCCAGCCATGAATTTGTGCCTCTGATGTTGACTGAGTCATTCTCAGGCACAAGGTTTATCCTATAAGGTTTGAACACATGGATTGTGTGAGGCTCTTGAGGCAGCTGAGGTGGAGGTTGGGGCTGGGGGATAGAGAGATGGACATCTGGGAGTCTCTGCACTATGAAAACTCTACAATAGGCTTTCCACCCACCTCACCTCCCTCCTCAAATTTTCCTTGAGCCCTTTGTCTGAACTCCAGAATGGCCCCTATCTCATTCTCCTGGGTAGCATACTTATCTAAAAACGTATTATTCATGCCCCCCTCCCCCCAGCCAGGATCATATAGATTTAAAGTTGGAAGGGACCTTAAAGGCCCTCAAGTCCAACCCCCCTATTTTACAGATGAGGTACAGAGAGTTGAAGTGATTTACCCAAGGTCACACAGCTAGTAAGTGCCTGAGGTAGGATATGAACCCAGGTCTTCTGACTCCAAGTCCATTGTCCTATCTGCTATAGCAGATACTGTCCGACATAAAGGAAGCTCTCTCAGGTTTCTGATTGTCTTGGGTTTGAAACTCCTAGTGAGACAATTATAACTGAGGAAACTGCAAAATGTAGGAGGAACCACTGGTCTAAAACTGGCCTATTAGATGGTAAACTTGAGGGCAGCACCTCTGCCTTGTTTCATTTGTATATCCCGACCTAGCACTGAGTCCAGGCCCTTGAACACAGTAGGTGTTTAATGGGTGCTGGGTTTTTTTAAATTGTTGAGTGATTGCAAGTACTAATCTTGCAACCATCCTTTGTCTTTCCTATAAATAATTCACAAGAGAATGATCATTCCCTAAGCCTACAAATTGGCATATGGCCATCACTGATCAGTAAATGGTGGCTCACAGGGTGATACTTTCTGTCACATCCCCACATTGCAACCCTGGTTGCCCCATCATGGGCTTGAGCTGCAAGACTGACCCCCAGGCCTTGTCCTGGGCCACTGTGAGTAGAGGAGAATCAGGATGAGGACACCCATCACTCTGTCATTGCAAACCTTCAGGGGCTAGCTATGCTAGCATCACTGCTCTTGAGTGAGCTCTCCACCCTGCCTTTATTATTGTGAGGATTCCCACTGTATTTTTTTAAAAAATTATTTATTTATTTGAGGCAATCAGGGTTACGTGACTTTCCCAGGGTCACACAGCTAGTTAAGTATCAAGTGTCTGAAGTCACATTTGAACACAGGTCCTCCTGACTCCAGGTCTGGAGCTCTCTCCACTGCACCAGCCTAGCTGCCAGAGGGATTTGGCCTCAATCTGGGGGCTGTACATAGGAATGAGTCACAAGAGGCTTTAAAGGAACTGAGCATGAAGGGTCTATTGTGATGATTTCCTCTACATTATTATTACTATTTATTGTTATGGCTCCAAATTATTTTTTCTTTCATTTTAAATTACATTGATCTCATTTTCTATAGCATCTTCACTTCTGAATATGTCCCTCCCCTACCCAAGCAAGCAGCTATCCTTCATAAAAATAAATAAAAAATTAAAGAGAGAAAAAGCAGAACTAGCCAGTACATCAACAGTATACATAGGGCTCCACATTCCTAGTCCTGAACTTGGGCAAAGAAGAGAGATTGACTTTCTCACTTGTTTGGGGCCATTATGAATACACAGAATTCACTGTTTTCTTTGTTTTATTGTCTTTGCCATTTCAATTGTTGTAGTCATCCAATGATAGGTTGTTTTCCTGATTCAAATTAATCAATAAAAATCTATTGAGTGCCTACTATGTGCTGGGTGCCATGCAAAGCACTGGGGATATAAAAAGAGGCAAAAGAAAGTCCCTGCCCTCAAGGAGCTTACAGTCTAATGGGGGGGGGGGGAAACCAAGCAAACAAATAAATATAAACAAATTGTACACAGGATAAATAGGAAATAATTAACAGAGGGAAGACACTAGAACTGAGAGGGGCTGGGAAAGGCTCCTTTCAGTTCATCAAAGTCCTGACTCTCAGTTCATTGCTCCTCCCACTTCTTCACCCTGCCTGGGCTGCATAGACCACCGTTCCCCCACCAAACCCACCCATTGGAAAGCTGCCCAGGGTCTAGTAATGAGTTTGGCCTCATCCCCTGTGTCTGTGCCAAGTTTGCTTGTCAGAGAGACAGCACCTGTGTCAGTGAATGAAGGGGTAGGAGTGTAGATGAATGGTCCTCTTAGCTCCCAGGAGTGGTGTTTATTAACACTTTTGTTCTTAATCACCTGGTTTGCCCATTAGCACATCAGAGCGGTTTTCCTGAAAGCAGGGAATTGTGTTTGTGTTTATGTTCTTGATTTTGTTTGGAGTATGCTAATCCCCTAATTAGAAAGTAAATCTACTTAAAAGGAAAACCAGAAAAAAAGACCAGTAAATCTAATTAGAAGGGAAAATGGAAATGTCAACATAGGCATAATCTGATTTCTTGGCAATTCCTTGGCGCTCCCTGGGTCACAATTACCTCTCCAGCAAACAAAAGGGCAGGCTAAAGTCCTATCCAACTCTAAATTCTCTGATCCTATGAATTTTCTAGACTTGATGGCCGTGAGCTACTTAAGGACTTTAGTAGGAACAGAGAGCTAAGCACAGACAATGCTTGTCCCTGTATTTGGTATCCAAAAGTCCTCATGGTTGTCACCCAGCCCACCTTAGATGCCTCAGGGCTCCTTGTTGGGTTTAAATGTCAGTGACCCTGGTCCTACCCAATGCTGATCTTCCTGCTCATATTCATCCTCCTTCTCCTTGCACATTACATATTCTATTCACTACTTTCTATCATGTATCTAAGACAAAAGGAAAAGGCATTTGGTAACATCACTGGGCTTGGGAATTTTTCACTTTGTTCAGAAAAAGAAGGGAAGGCCTCCGGTATATTGGGTGGACTTTATGTGTCGAACTCTTGGGAGGACATGGGGAAAAGCTAAACAAGATGATCAGGTATGACTAGGCTATGATCTGCTTTGTTGGGTGGAATACCCACACCAAAGAAATCATGGATCTATTTGAGTATTTTGAGTGAGGTTGGAGTGACTGCTTGCTTGAGATGTACTGATGACCCTTTTCGTATAGAGGTTGGCCTATAGCTCGTCAGATCCCTCCAGCTCTGAGGTTGTGTCATTCTTTGTGATTTTGGAATAAGATGGCAAATGAGAGGTGAAAAACATGGCAACCTCTCAGCAATTCAAGGGCAAAGAGAGTCTCAGAAACAGATAAAAATCAATGATTGGTTAGTTAAGGCAGGAATTAGATGATACAGTTTGGGAGCTAAGGAAAGAGAGTCTCCTGCATGGTGTCAACAAAGGAAAAACATCTTCTCTGGTTCTCAGGGAACTTCCCAGAGGGCAGCTTTGGCCTGGACCTGGAGGCTATACTTAAGACATGAATCACAATAGGCTCCTTAGGAGCTAAGCAGGAAGGGTCTAGCTGGCCTAGGGGCAGAAGCAAGGTGGAGAAAGGAAAAAAGACCCCACTTCTTGGGAATCCGGGCAAGACAAAGACCTTTACTGGGAGGCAGGAGTCCTGGGTTCTAGTCCCAGTTATTCAACTAATTGTGTGACCTTCTCACTGGGTTTCTCTTTCCTCATCTATTAGTTGAGGAGGTTGGTCTCTAAGATCTATCATTCTGGATTCTGTGGTCTGAGCTCCAGTCTGGGTCAGAGAAAAACTGAGTTCTATAACCAAGGTACATCCCAGACTGTACCTCGAGACTCCTCTTATTGGAGTGAGGTAGTTTCTTGTACTGTGAATGACTAGTGGAATATGGTATCGTAGACAACTCATTGCCAAGGAAGGGAAAAAGGTCCCGACTCAGCAGCTTAGAGAATTCCCTTCATCCCCAACTGAGAGACAGGTGAAGGCAGAGAGCTCTCAGCCTGTCGGTCCATATTTGCTACCCTTCAGCAAGCCCAGTCATAATTCCCTCATATACTTATTTTATATATATATATATATATATATATATATATATATATATATATATTCAATTCAACAAATACTTAATAGGAGCCTACTCCCTATAGGACTCTATATTCTCTCAGTTCTGTGATTTACAAATATGTATCTCTATGTAGAGATACACATATAGTTACATATACATACATCGATACGTATACCTATATTGATACATATATGTATCTCTACATAGATACACATATTTATAACCTCAGAACTGAGTTTTAATATCGTATATTATATATCCATATACATTTGTGTGTATATTATACATATACATATATACATATGTAACTGTATATACATGTACCTATCTATACATGTATGTACAGAAATGTGTATAGATGTATTATGTATGTATCTATACATAGGCACATATCTATATATGTATATGCACATGTACATATACCTATATGAATATGTGAATGTAATACGTATGGATATATGGTCCTATTACAAGGTAGCAGAGGAGAAATCCAGACAATGTACTCTAGGGGAATTTGGGGAGAGATTACTTTCAGCTAGGAGGGTGAGAGGATTCCTGATAGATGTGACCTATGAACTGAGCCTTGAAGAAAGGGAAGGAATCCAACAGGAAGAGAGAAGAGAGTATACTGCAGGTGGAAGAATCAGCCTGGGCAAATTCACAGATGCTGGAGCAGACAAGATGAGGCTGAGGAATAGCCAAGTGTCTAGTTTGTCCAGCATCTACAGTACGTGAAAAGGAATAATGTTCAATGAGTCTAGAAAGGTTGGTTGGAACCAGATTCTAGAGGGCCTTCAGTGATAGGCTAATGAATTAGTATTTTATCCTCTAGGCAATAAGGGGTCATTGAAGGATTTGGAGAAAGGGGTAGGATAGAGGGACATGGTTAGGTGTATCTAAGCTTAGGGAGGTCAGAGGCCACCCCTTCCCCCCACCATCTTCTCTGAATAGAGTCACAAAGCTACACACAACAGGAAGCCCATGGCCATCTCACATCTGGTTTCTGCTATTCTTCTTTCCCACACCCCAACCCTGTCTCCTGCAGAGAAGCCAGCATCCATCACCAAGCCCCTGGAGGACCAGAGGGCACCAGCTGGGGAGGATGTGACCCTAAGCTGTGAACTCTCCAAGGCAGGTGCCACCGTGAGGTGGTTGAAGGATGGCAAAGCAATCAGAAAGGGTCCCAGATATGACCTACGCTGCGAGGGCTCCCAGGCCATTCTTGTCATCCGTGCAGCCTCCCTCAAGGACTCTGGCGAGTACACATGTGAGACTGAGACCTCGAAGAGCAAAGCCACCCTTAGGGTGGAAGGTATGTAGTCAAGATTGTTGAAGAGTTTTTTTCTCTCTCTTTAAAAATAGGCGCAGCTAGGTGGTGCAGTGGATAGAGCACCCTCGCTGGAGTCAGGAGGACCCGAGTTCAAATGCGGCCTTAAACACATAACACTTACTAGCTGTGTGACCCCTGGGCAAGTCACTTAATCCCATTGCCTGGCAAAAATAAATTAAAATAAAATAGGGGCAGCTCAATGGTGCAGTGGATAGAGTACTGGCCCTGGAGTCAGGAGGACCTGAGTTCAAATCTGCCCTTAGACATTTGACACTTACTAGCTGTGTGACCCTAGGCAAGTCACTTAACCCCAATTACTTTGCAAAAATAAAAATAATGTTTTACTGATCCCCTTTGTTTTGACCCTGCAACCCAGTATACTCCACTTGCCCCTGTGTCCCCACTCCCACTGGACTTTCCTCTGTAAAAAAAGAAATACAGTTTTGCTCCACTATGGTTATTTGTTCCAGGATATTTGTTTTGTTTTGTTTTTAAATTGGGAGGGGAAATGAGGGGAGAGAGAGGAGCTAGTGATAGGGTCACACACACACACACACACACACACACACACACACACACACACACGAAAGAAGAAAAAGATTGCCACCAAAGCATTTTCAATGCTCAGAAGAGAACTGAAGGAAGTTCAGTGGACAGCTTTGAAAGGAACACATCAAATTTATTATATGTATTAAAAAGCAAACTGTACTTACTAGAAGTTTGCATCTTTATCTATGATCCTTTCTTTGTCTGTTCTACTTTGCATATGGAAATTTGGGGGAATATTCATTAAGTTCAGAAGATTTTTTTTTAAAAAAGACAGTTATAGAAAACGAACTGGCATAGCAACTGAGTTCAACAGTGATGCAGGTAAGCCTCTTTACCAAGAGGAAGGATATGCAACCTAAATATGAAAGATCACATGAGAAAAAAAATAAAAGGATTGTGCTAAATAATACGTGGAAGGAGAGAGGTGTGATTTATCATTTGTTGTTTGGGACCAAGATTGGTTATTCCAATGAATCAGAGACTGCCCTTTAGTGTTATTTTCACTTACATTATTATAGTCATTATGCATATGGTTCTAATTCTGCTGACTTCACTCTGAATCAGTTCATACAAATCTTCCTATGTTTCTCTGAACTCCTCATTTTCAACTGTAACACCTATCCCTACCCTCTCAGGAGCTACTCTGAGCATGAGCTATATTGCCTTTTCCTCTCAGGGAAATACTGGAGTGGTGTTCCTTCACATTTATTTACCACGATTTGTTCAGCTGTCTCATAATTGACGAACATGTACTTTGTTTTCAGTTTTTTGTTACCACAGAAAATGTTGTCCTGAATGCTTTAGTATAAATGAGTCCTTTCTTTCTGCCTTTGACGTCTGGGGGCTATATGTCCAGTAAGTCTTGAATGAGTCTAAATTATTTTCCGGAACAAATTGAACCAGTTCATCATTTCTCTTCTTCTTGTTCAGTCACACCTGACACTTCGTGACTCCATTTGGGGTTTTCTTGGCAAAGATACTGGAATGGTTTGCCATTTCCTTCTCCAGCTCATTTGACATATGAGGAAACTGAGGCAAACAGGGTTAAGTGACTTGTCCAGGGTCACACAGCTAGTAAGTGTCTGAGGCCATATTTTGAACTCAACAAAGATGAGTTTTCTTGACTGTATGCCTGGCGCTCTATCCACTGTGCCACCTTACTTCTCATAGTTCCTCTAGCCATGTACTAATGTCCCTGACTTCCCCAGATCCCCATCAACCTTGACCATTGCTCTTTTTTAATTCTTTTTGCTGTTTTAAGGGGTATAGAATAAAACATGAGTTGCTTTATTTTGCATCTCTAATCTGTAGTGATTTAAAGCAACTTTTAGATTATTGTTGATATTTTACAATTTTTTAAAAAAACTGTTCATGTCCTTAAACTATTTATCTGTTGGAGGAATGGCTCTTGGTCTTATATATTTATATCCATTTCCTACTTATCTTGGATGTCAGACTTTTACTAAGGATATTTGATGTAAAGATTCCCCTCCCCACCACCACTTCTTTTATTATCTGCATTGATGTTTTTTGCCTGCAAAAGCTTTTTTATTTTATGTAAACAAAATTGTCTAGTTTATCCTTTTTGAGTATCTCTATCCATTTTTTTTTTGGCTAAGACTTTCCTTAGCCAAAGTTGTGAAGATACTTCCTTCTGCTCTCTATTTTTTTTTATAATGTGACCTTTTATATTTAGATTGCATTTGTATTTGGAGTTTTTGTGGTATGTAATGTAAGGTACTTAGCTAGATCTAATTTCTGTGAAACTATTTTCCAGCTTTATTAGCCATTCTTTTTGTTTATTTGGTTTTAAGTCTTTTTTTTCAATGAGCAAAATATTATTTTTCCTCCCTCCTACATCTGCTTCCCTCAAACACAAAACCCTTGTAACCAATATGCATAGTCAAGCAAAACAAATTCCTGCATTGGCCATATCCAAAAATGTCTTATTCTAAACTTTGAGTCCATCATCTCTCTGTCAGGAGGTGGGTAGCATGCTTCATTTCTGGTCTTCTGGACTCATAGTTGACTAGTCATTGTACCAACCAAAGTGTTTAGGTCACTCAAAATTAGCTGTTTTTACAACGGTGTTGTTATTGTATAAATGGTTCTCCTGGTTCTGTTTATATCACTACTTATCAGTTCATAAAAGTCTTCCCTTTTTGTCATGCACATGTATGTCATATATATATATATATGCATATATATATACACACACACATATGTTCTTGACTTCCATTATTATCATATATGTGTGTATATATATCCCTGACTTCCATTTTCTATGTATACATATGTATGTATGTTATGTGTATGTCGTTTCTTATGGCACAATAGTATTCCATTATTGTCACATACTGTAATTTGCTCAACCATTCTCCAAATGATGGACATCCTTTAGTTTCCAGTTCTTTTCCACTACAAAAAGAGCTGCTATAAATATTTTTGTACTTAGGAGACTTCCTCTGATCTCTTTGGAGAATGTCTGGGTCAAAGGGTATGCAGAGTTTAGTAACTTTGGAAGCATACTTCCTATGACATTCTTTTTTAAAAAATTAATTTATTTTGAATGATCAACAATCACTTCCATAAGCTTTTGAGTTTTAAATTTTTCTCCCCCTCCCTCCCTATCTCCCTCCCCAAGACAGTGTGCAATCCAATATAGGCTATACATATACATTCCTATTAAGCATATTTTTGCATTAGTGATGTTGTAAAGAAGAATTAAAACCAATACTTCCTATGATATTCTTCTAGAATAGGAACTCTTTCCTCCAGCCTCATTAGTAGTTTACATTCTTGGGTTTATCAAGCATTACACTGTTGGATTCCACTGTTTCTGGGTCTTTTTATCTGGTTTTGCCTCATTTCTCTTTGTAGAGAAATGCCTCTGGCATAAAGCATTTTCTCTCTCTGATGGCTGGCTGAGTGAAGGCAGCTACACAAGGGAGAGGACTCAGACCTTTTGCCCGTAATAACAACTCCCATTTTTATAATGCTTTAAAGTTCACAAAATGCTGTCCTTATGCAACTCCATGAGGCAGCATACAATTTTTATCTCCATTTTATAGATGAGGAAGCTCAGGCTCAGAGATATGAAGTGATTTGCCCAGGGTCACCCAGCCTAGGCAAGTGTCTGAGGCAGGATTGAAACTCAGTTCTTTTGACTCCAGGTCCGGGGCTCTATCCACTATATCACCTTGCCACTACCTTTCTGGGCTTGAATTCTCTTGCCTGTAAAATGAGGGGGCTGACTAGGTGATCCCCAAAGTCTCCTGCAGTCCTATGATCCTTTGAATGAGTTATTCTCTGAGATGCCCTCCTGGGTTCTGGTGGGCGCAGAAGGATCGGGGAGTGAGGAAGGGGAGAAAAATGGAATCAAGTCCCCTTAGAACTTCATCTTGTCCTCTCTTTTCCAGAAAAGCCCAACCGCTTCACCAAAGAGCTGACAGATGTGAAGGGCGAGGAGAAGGGCACGGCGGTATTTGAGTGTGAAACAGAGAAGCCAGCAGCAGCAGTGATATGGCGGAAGGGTATCGCAGAGCTGCGGCCCACCAGAAAGCATGTGCTTAGCCAGGCAGGCACGGCTCTGAAACTCACCATCTCCACCCTGGAGAAAGGAGACAGTGACACCTATACCTGTGACATTGGGGATGCCCAGTCCCAGGCTCAGCTCGTGGTGCGAGGTGAGAACCGTAGAGAAGCCCTTCAAGAGATAGCCTCTTTCCCAGAACAGATTCAGGGAAGTCCTGGGCCTACTCCCATGGTACCCTGGACTTTACTGTGTCATTCACACACATATACACATACATATACATGTATGTGTACACACATATACAATATACATACATGTGTGTGTATACATACAGGCACCTGAGGCCGTGGGTCTAATTAATTATAGGATATATATGTATTCCTGTATGAACACACAGGCACATACACATATAAGTATATCTGTATATATAAATAATGGAAGTCAGGAATATATGTGCACACATATGTGATAATAATGGAAGTCAAGGTTATATACACATACATATATACATGGATACATATGTGTGTATGTATGTATATATGTATATGTATATATATCAGATTCCTGTATGTGTATATGTGTGTGTACATCTACACACACATATATACATATATACACACATATAGGAATCTGAGACCATGGATCTTGTTATAGACTCCCATTCACACACACACACACACACACACACACGTGTGTATTTACATATATATATATACATACATACACACATGCATGTATAGGCATCTCCATAATATAGACATACATACACATGCATGTGCACATACACGTAAATACATGAATGTGCATTGTGTGTAGATATGTATACACACATACATTTAGACATCTGGAGCCATAGGTCTCATTAATTATAGAATATATGTATGTGTTCATGCACTGTATGAATATACAGACACACATGCATATAACACACATGTGTGTATGTATATAGAAATGATGTAAGTCAGGGATATATGTACACGCATAGGATATATGCACATACATATATACACGCACATGCATGTGTGTATATGTATATTTACACATACAGAAATCAGAGACTATGGGTCTTGTCATAGACTCCCATTCACATATGCACATGCACATATACATAAATATATACTCACATACGTACATATATACATAGCCATATACACATATAGATATACAGGCATCTGAGACCATGAATCTTGTTGTAGACTCCCATTCACACATGCACACACATATATACATATATGTATTTATATATAAGTATATGTATATGTATGTATATATGTGTGTGTGTGTCTGTGTATACACACAGACACACACACATACATAGCCATACACACACACACACACACACACATACATGTATAGGCATCTGAGGCCATGGGTCTTGTTATAGGCTTACATGCACACACATACACATGTCCCCATGTATTCATGCATATATACCTGCAGTACACATATATACATGTGTGTATGCACATATATGTGTGTGTGTGTGTGTGTGTGTGTGTAAAAGTACAAAGCAGCAAATCCTCTTAGGTATTTCGATTTGGATGAGTGACCTCAGTTATCGCAAGACTTAGAAGTAGAAGGGACCTGAGAGATTACCTTGTCCAACTCCACTTTGCAGAGGAGAAAACTGGGGCTCCGAGAAGGCAGAGAATTTGTCCGAGATCCCCTAAGTAGTGAAGGGAAGGCCTGGAACTTGAAGCATTCTCCCCCTATGCCCAGTGCCTCTCCAAGATGTAGAATTTACAGTGAATAAATCTATATACATTTGGATGATGCAGAATCATGTATTCTTAGAGTTGGGAGAGACCTCCAAGGATTTTTGAGTAGTTTGTCCTTCTCCCTCATTTCCATTATCATCATCTTGTCCACTTGGAGGTGGCCCTAGTGGCCTTTCTTTGGGTTCCTCTCACCCTCAACACAGCTGAAAGAAAATCCTTCTTCTGGGAAAATGATAAATATTGGAGATGTGGAAAAACTGAAGTACTAATGCATTGTTGGTAGAGTTGTGAACTAATCCAGCCATTCTGGAGAGCAATTTGGAACTCTGCCCAAAGGGCTATAAAACTGTGCATATCCTTTGATCCAACAATACCTCTACTAGGTCTGTATCTCAAACAGATCTTAAAAAAATAGAAAAGGACCCATGTGTATGAAAATATTTCTAGAAACTCTTTGTGTGGTGGCAAAGAATTGGAAACCGAGAGGGATGCCCATCAATTGGGGAATGGCCAAACAAGTATATGAATGTAATGGAATACTATTGTTTCATAAGAAACAATGTGCAGGTAGATTTCAGAAAAACCTGGAAAGACTTACACGAACTGATGCTAAATGAAGTGAGCAGAACCAGGAGAACATTGTACATGGTAACAGCAACATTGTGTTGGTCAAGTATGAAAGACTTGGCTCTTCTCAGCAATGTAATGATCCAAGATGATTCCAAAAGACTCGCAATGGAAAATGCTGCTGACATCCAGAGAAAGAGCTATGGAGTCTGAATGCAGATCGAAGCATACTATTTTCACTTTGGTTTTTTTTGTTTGTTTGTTTTTTCTTTCTCATGGTTTTTCCCTTTTGTTCTGATTCTTCTTTCACAACATGACTAGTGTGGAAATATGTTTAACATGATTGTACATATATAACTTAAAAAAAAAGGAAGGAAAATCCTCCTTCTGGGCCTTAGTGCTCCTGACACTGTCCTTACAGGCCAGCTGCTGCCCACCTCTAGGGAGTCATGCAGAGACAAATTATCGTTTGTCACTAGCTAGCATTACTAAGGTTTATTAAATCACAGGTTAAAAAAAATCAACTCCCTGAAAGCCTTAGGGCACAGTTGCAATTTTCTTCGCTACTGCTGATTGAAGGCCTTCATGAAGGAAGAGAGAATTTGATAAGTGAAAAAACTGGCTGAAAGGAGAGTATCTAAGAACAGAAATTTGATTTCTGGACCTTGACTTAAAATACAGCTCTTAGTTATAATTAGAATGCAGACGAGTATGTATCTGTGTACTCCAGACCACATCTCACACAGAATCTTCCTCAAGGTTCACCTCCTCCAGGAAGTCTTGTGCTTATCCTGTCTGAATCAGGCTGATTAGAGAAGGACACAGATTGGAGAGTCTTTACCTTATGTATCCTGCCATCCACTGCCCATACCACAGTAATAGTCCTCATGGCCTCACCAGGCCACTTTGGCATAGCAGAAAGTGTACTAGGCTTGGAGTCTGATTACCTGGGTTCAAATCCCAGATGTAGGATTGTGACCATTTCACTTCCTTTCTCCTTATCCATAAAATGGAAATAATATCTCCCACCTATGTCAAAGGGTTACTTTGTAAAATTTAAACTAATAAAAATGATTTATTATTGTTGTAATTATAATGATTATCATCATTATTGTGTTAGGCCAAAAAATCCTTATCACCGAGGACCTGGAAGATGTGGAGGTTTCTGAGGGGTCCTCAGCAACATTTCGATGCCGGATCTCACCTGCTGACTACAGTCCTGTTCAGTGGTTTCTGGATAAAACCCCACTACACACAAATGAACTCAATGACATTCAGGTGCAGCCGGGAGGCTGCCACATGCTGACTGTGAAGCAGCTTGCCGTCAAGGACTCGGGTACAATCCACTTTGAGGCAGGTGACCAGAGGACTTCTGCTGCCCTGAGAGTCACAGGTAGATCATTCCTGGGGACTGACCCCAATGTCTACTGTGAACCATTCCTTCCCTGTGGAGACTCCACTTCTTCTTTCCCTAACCTCAGCCAGTGCAATAGCTCTGAAATGTGACTCCATACTAGGGTCAGGCTGCCTTGAGACTGGCATATTTTTTTAACTATGCCTAGAATATGCCAGTCCTGGCAATAGATTTTTTTTCAGGATCAACCTAGCTAAAGATGGGGAGGCCCATCACCCTATAGCCTGGCTATTTGGTGATGAATCCTTTGGCCATGAGAACCCATGAAATGTCAAGTCAACAAGTCAACAAACGTGGGAGGGGGGACAGGTAGGTGGCACAGTGGATATAGCACCAGCCCTAAAATCAGGAGGACCTGAGTTCAAATGTGGCCTCAGACCAAACACTTGACACGTACTAGCTGTGTGACCCTGGGCAAGTCACTTAACCTCAATTGCCTTAAAAAAACCCCCAAAAAACAAACAAGTCGACAAACATTGTTTACACATCTGCCATGAGGATACAAAGAAAGGAAAAAATAGTCTTTGCTGCCAAGGAACTCACAGTCCAATGGAGGAGGTGACATGCAAACAACTATGTACAACAAGCTATAAACAGGTTGAATTGGAGATAATCTCAAAGGGAAGGCATTATCATCGAGGGGAATGGGAAAGCCTTCTTGTAGAAGGTGGGGTTTTAGCTGAGACTTGAAGGAAGCTTAGGAAATCCAAATGGTCCTCAGCATAGTGACGGTGGCAGAAAAGGGAGCAGAGGAGGTAAAGAATCACAGGTTTTTAGGCTGTTTATAAAGTTTAACTTTGCTGTTGGTACTCTGTGTGTGGACTCCTTGTACTATGACCAGTGAGTAGAAACTCTGCTGGAGGAATAGTTGCTATGTCAGGAGACAACATGGTGCCGTAGAAAGGGCATTCCGCTTGTCCACTGAATTTGGAGCTAAGGGACCTGAATTCGAAGATTAGCTCTCCCACTTACTGTTTGTGTAGGTGATGATTTGATCAAGTCACCTTGCCTCTATGAGCAGCTAGGGGTGCCATAGTACAGAGAGCGCTAGGCCTCGAGTCAGGAAGATCTGAGTTCAAATCCAGCCTCAGATACTTACTAGCTATGTGACCTAAGCAAGTCACTAACCAGTGTTTGCCTCAGTTTCCTCATATGTAAAATGGGGATAATAATAGCACCTACCTCCCAGGGTTGTTGTGAGGATCCAAGGGGATTATTTATAAAATGCTTGGTAATTAATGCTAGGTATTATCAGCCCCAGTTTCATCTGTTAATTGAGAGGAGTTGTATCAGATGATCTTTTCAGCTCGAGACCTGTGCTCCTATTATCCCAGAAACTGAATCAAGTCACTCTTGATATACTCACTCTTATAAAGGCAGAAGATAAAATTGCAGCCAAATGGAAGGATAGCAGACCTGGAGAGACAAATAAAAGATTTGGAGGAGCTGGTTCTATTGTGTGTACAAAGGCAACAAGCAATATCATTTCCTGAGATATTTGGTTATTGGCAGCACTTGTGACAAGAACGTACAAAAAAGACCATCTTGAAAATAATTGTAGTTTTTGTGTTGACATTTATTACAGAAAATGAAAAAGTGGAGAAATTCTATGAAGAACTTGATAAATTAGATCTATGAATATATTAACTACATTGACATATACATATCAACAAATTAGATTAGCATATTCTTCAATGCTTGGTGACTTTAATGTGGACATAGGTGAGAACCATGAAAAATGTGCTGGAAAATGTGATTCAGGGGTAAGGAATGAGAGAGGCCAGTAACTGCACAGAAGCCTCTCACCTGTACATCATGAATACCTTCTCCTATAGCAGAAATGAAAGGGGTTGGACATGACAAGCACTGAATAACATGATAAAAATTAAGTTAGTTGTATTTTAAATTATAGGAAGTACATTACTGCTGATATGGGAGCCATTCTTGAACCATCTCTGTACAGTAAGAATATTGATTTGTTAAAGCAAAGATGAAAATTAATACAAAATGAGAAAAAGACATGGCATGTAATTTAAACAACCCCAACCTGACCTATTTAGACAAATTACAAATGTTGAAGTGGAGAGATGGATGAAGGAAAGGATACCAATGCCAATTACAGAAGTTTAATGGATATGTCAATTTTCATAATGAAGAAACTAAAGGAACCTAGAAACCAACTTAATCATGGCAAAAACTTGGTTTACTTGCTATGTAGAGAGATAGAGTGGCTAATGGCAATACTAGTTTAGAATAAAAACTTGTTTATGAAACCTTATGAAGAAAGATTGTAGAAGATTATGAGCAATGTTGCCTCATAAAGCAACAAAAGTTAGTGGAGAGAAAAACCAGTTAAAAAAAAATCTCAGTGAGAGACCTAACTAGCCAAAGGCATTTAAGGGTGAAAATGGAAGAACAACAGACAGGAGATGGAAAAGAACCAGATGTGGAGTCAGGAAGACCTGAGTTCAAATCCTGCTGTAGGCATTTTTTTTAGCTATGTGATACTGGACAAGTCACTTTAGTCTTTCCTAGCCTCAGTTTCCTCATCTGTAAAATGGGGTTAATAATAGCACCTACCTCTCAGGTGTGTTGTGAGGATAAAAATGAGATATTTGTAGAGTGCTTTATAAACCTTAAAGTGCTCTATGAATGCTAGCTAGTGGGAATCTTTCCTGTTCATGCTTTCTCTTTCATCAAATTATCTTGTATTTCCTTAACCACGTATGTGTAGTATGCCCACCCCCAGGCCCCAGTCAGTAGAATGTAAAAATTCCTTCAGGCTAGGTGCTATCTCATTTAGGTCTATGTGTCTCCCTTGGATATGGAAGTCATTTAACAAGCATTTGATGAATTGATTCAGTGGGCCCTGAGGGCGTCTTTATATTTTCACAATTGTGACTACATCTAATTAAGAAAAGTCTAAGTTAGAATAATAATGATGATGGCAAATTATGCTCTCTGCTCTGCTTAAGAAAAGACACAAGACACTTTTAGGGAAGATTTCCAACCCAATGGTTAAAATAAAAATAATGTGGGCACTTAGATGTAATCACCAGTTATCTGGAAGATTCCTTTTGTGGGACACATTCTTCCCCAAAGATGATGTCTGTTGGGGTGTTAACAACGTTTACAATCAGTTCACAAATGGCTTACCTCCCTATTGGCACTAAAGGGGAAATATGGTGAAACGGCCTTTTGGTTATTTCTACAAGGTGACTTTGAATGTTCATTTTAACCTGATTTGACCTGAGGAGTGGAAGAGAGTAAGCTGGGATGTGCTGTGGACCATTCCCACCCCTTACTAAGGACAAGCCCTGCCCAAGGAGAAGGCAATGGCCAACCACTCAAGTATCTTTGCCAAGAAAACCCTAAATGGGGTCAGGAAGAGTCAGGCATGACTGAAACAACTGAACAACAATAACCTTCCCAAGGTGTATGAATAGGGCTCAGTCTGCCATCATGGTTAAGGACTCAGTCTATAAGCAGGGACAAAGCTCTTGAGGTCTATCATCAGGGTTAGGGTTTGATCTAGAACCTGGGTGAATTTTGGAAACTGAGGGTTTTTTTTTTTTAGCATGTGAAGCTAACTAGTCCAGACAGGGACTGAATGAATATCACTCTTCTAAGGTGTTCTCCACCGACACTTCTCCCAACAGTTTCATTCTATTATCACACTAACCCTGTGGGATGATTTACAAACAGGGAAATCCAGGTACAGAAATGGATGGGGATTTTCCCAAGGCCATCCAGGGACTTAGAAGTTGAGGTAGGATTAGCTTTGTCTCTTCAATACCATGACCTCCCTGAAGATCGCAGGCCACATGTGGTCTAGCTATTATGAGATGGTTCCTCCCTTGTCTTCACAGAGAAACCCTCCGAATTTTCGCGGGAGCTTACTGATGCTACAGTTACTGCTGGGGAGACTCTGACCCTTTGCTGTGAGACCACAATCCCAGACAGCCCAGTGCACTGGACCAAGGATGGGAAGGCCCTAAAGCCATCAACCAAGTGCCAGCTCAGCCGTGAAGGCTGTGAAGCCCGGCTGGTTATCACCAGTGCCAGAGAACAAGATGGTGGGCGCTATGAGTGTGAATTTGGCAAGGCCCGGACTAGCTCCATTGTCAGGATCAAAGGTGAGGTTCTCATGGAGCACGGGGGCCAACAGGGTACTGGGGAAAGGGGGAACCCTGTAGACTGACCAGTCTATTCATCAAGGCCTTAGTTAGAAGGTAGATAGTCACTTTATAATCATTTACATGTAACAGCTCTCTGTTATCTGTACTGCCTTTAATCAATGACATGGATGAAGTCATAATGTAGAGAAACATGATGTTTGAAGTCTAAAGACCTGAGTAGGCATCCCAGTTCTGCTATTGACCCCTTTGTGAACTTGTGCATAAGGGATCTCTACAGTTCCATATGGCTCTCAGTTTCTTGAACCTGTGATCTCACTCCATCTTTCATCTTTGGTCCCTCCCTGCCTAAGTCCTTTCTCCTCTGCCTACAAGCAGGGTCAGGTCTCTCCTAGTTTCAAAAAACCTACTTCTGACCCTGCTACCTCCCTCAAGTTATGAACTTATCTTTTGCTGTGTAACCCGGGAGAGTCAAACCTAACTGCTCTCATCTTCAGTTTTCTCATTTGTAAAATGGGTATAATAATAGCACCTACCTCTCAGGACTGTATGTGAAGATTAAATGAGAAGATATACAGAGTGTCCCAAAAGCTAGCTAAAATCTACTCTAAGATTTCTGAAACACCTGTATTTATGATACTTTGCAAACTTTAAAGCTATATTATCCTTACTATTATCTTCCTCCTCATTATCATTATTATTTCCTTTTCTATACTCGGTCTCTCCACTTATTCATTTATTTGGAGCCAGAAGAGCTGGGTTCAAATCCTGCCTCTGTCATGTGCTAGTCATGAGATCCTGGGCAAGTCACTTAACCTCTCTGAGTCTGCAGTATTAAGAGGTTGGAATGGATGACCCCTAAGATCTCTTCCAGCTCTGAATCTAGCATCTTCTCCACCTCCTTGCACTCTGGCATCCATCTCTACACCTCTGCTGAGGTACTGCTTCTGACATCATCAGCGACTTGCTAATTGCCTGATCCAGTGGCCTTTTTTTTTTCAGTCCTCATTCTCTCTGGCCATGCTGCTGCATTTGCCTCTGTTGACTGTCCCTTGCTTCTACATACTCCCTCCTTCCATGGCACCATTCTTTTCTGTTTCTCATCCTACCTCTGAGAAAATTTCTTCTTGATCTGCCTTGTAGCTCCTGTCATCCCAGTGCCCTGAGTGTGTCTCCCGAGGCACTAGCTCCAGCCTTCTCTGCAGCCACTCAAAGTTCCCTGTGGTGGGCAATCATCTTTGAATACCCAGTCTTTGAATACTGTGGTGGGTTTCTTTCACTTAGGTCGCATCCTCAGTACTTTGGAATATACCCTGATCCCATAATCCACAACATTTCTTATTTGTATGTTCCCATGCCTTCTCTTGCCTTTCACTGTGAGCCAGACTCCTAATCTGCATCCTCTTCTGCAAGCTTAATCTCAGCTATGTCTTGTAGACTCACACACTATTGCAGCTGGAAGGCACCTTAGATATTATCTAGTGAGACCTCTTCATTATGTAGATGAGGAAATAGGCTCAGAGAGGGGATATAACTTACCCAAGGTCACCCAGCGAAGTACGGGCAGCATCAAGACAGGGACCTATTCTCTTTTTTGTGTTCTTGCCCTTCCACTGTACTGTCACTCGCTGATTGACTAAGATCTTGGGTTGGGTTGTGGGGGAAGCACAGCTGGATAGATCCCAGACCCCTTGTTGGGGGATTGACCCAGGGAAACAGGCACCTTTTTTCTCTTTTCTTTAAAAAAAATTTAAAAATAAGTTTATTAAGGAATGTTCATAAGAAAGCAACAACTTTTGACTTGGTTCTTCATGCCATGTAATAAAGATGATGTAAAATCTTGTAGGTGTGCACGTCTTTCCACTGGGATTCTTAGAATCTGTAAAGCTGGAGCCAGCGTTTTTACCGTAACAGGTGGCAGTTTTTACTTTACCCACTTTAATTAGCTATCAGTCTTTGAATTCAACATCATTTGATGCAAAAGTCGACATGTTGTTATGGAATCTGTTAGTCCTTAGAGAGCCCTTGAATTGGACTCTGTTGCAGCCTGGCTGAGCTGAGACTGAAGCTGCTGCTTGTCAAAGGGAATTGGGATTTGAAGGGCCAGCGGGGGACTGATCTGATTGAGCTCATGAGAATTTCCCAAAAGTTTCCTTCCACTGTTGCATCTCTGTTTAACTGACAGGCTATAGCTTAAGAAAAAGTTTCACTTTTCCTAACACCCAGCTTTGAAACTGCTGGAGACTTTCAGGTTTTCATGGATGCCATTCTAATTCTGCTTCTTCTTCTTCTTCTTTAACCTCATCCTCTAGAAACCTGGGCATGGGACTCAAACCTCTTTTCCTTGGACACAGGAGCCCTTTTCCCAGAGGGAGGGGAGGTTCTCCTAGTTCTAGGGATCCCTAGAGTTTTGTTCTAGGCTAGGCTGGTTCAGCATATGTTTCAGGGATCCAACCAGCTAAAATCAAGAGCAACAGTTCCCTGTGGGGGAGGGCGCTATGATGTATAAGGGGACCCTGCTCTGTGCAGCCTTTCCTGGCGGCTGAAGGGATGGACATAGAGTAAGAAGGGAAGTTGTTTCAAGTGGGAAGAATGGTGTAAGCAAAGTAATGATGGTGAGGAAACACAAAGCATGTTTGAGGAAAAGTGAACAAGTGAACAAAGCATGGAGGAGTTAGGAGCTGTCCTTTTTTTCTCGGTTCTGATGTCTCCCTTCTCTGCTGATCCCTTCACCCCCCAGCTGCACCAATCTACTTCAAAGAGGGGCTGAAGGCCATAGAAGTGTCGGAGGGGGGAGCCACCACCCTGCGCTGTGTGCTCTCTGCTGTGGCTGCCCCGGTGGAATGGCGCAAGGCCAGCGAGGTGATCCGTTCAAGCAACAAGTATCACCTCCGGCAGGAAGGAGCCACTCTTGAGCTGATTGTCCGAGACCTGGAACCGGAGGACAGCGGGGAGTATTCCTGTGTCTTCAAGGACCAGAAGACCACAGCCATCTTGACTGTCAAGGGTAACATCTCTTCAGATAGTTTCCTTAGTTGTTCTCTCTCTCTCTCTCTCTCTCTCTCTCTCTCTCTCTCTCTCTCTCTCTCTCTCTCTGTCTCTCTCTGTCTCTCTGTCTGTCTCTCTCTCTCTCTCCCTCCCTCCCTTCTTCCTCCCTCTCATCCTTCCCCAAACATTTATTAAACACCTGTTGTATACAGAACACTCTGCTCAGCCCTGAGGGAGATCCAAAGTCTGTACTAGGTATTATTCCTGCTCTCATGAGTCCAGAAGAGCGACACAAACATAAGTAACTATAATATACAACACTCTAATGAGGCAGCTTGCCTCTCTGATAGATAGGAGTGCAGGACTTGCAGTCAGTAAGATTTGGGTTTAAATCTTGCCTCAGACACTAGCTGTGTGACCCTAGGCAAGTCACTAAACCTCCCTTCAGGTTCCTCATCTATTAAATGGGGGGGGTAATGACAGTATCCCCCTCACAAGATTGTTGTGAGAATCAAATGTGATTGATTGCATATGTAAAGTGCTTTGCAAACCTCAAAGGGCCATGTAAATACATGTTACTAGCTATTATGGGCCCCCTGGCCAGTCCAGAGAGGACTTTTCCTTTGTGGAATAAGGAGCTGGGTGACTGGGGAGCCTCTGGTTCTCTCAGTTTATATTGGAAGAGCTGACATTTTTCACCAACCATTAGCTTAGTAAGAGCCAAAAGTATGAGTGGCTGAAAGAGGTCTAATGTCCAGATCATGGGAGGTAATCATCTTTCTGTTCTTTGCTCCAGTCAGAGAACTTCCTGTAGTATATTTAAGGGGATATTGACAAACCAGAGCATTCCAAAGAAGGTTGACTGGGATGGTGAGGGGTCTGGAGATTATGTCATATGAAAATCCAGTCAAGGAACTAGACAGAAGGCTTGGTGGGTAGGGTAGGTCATGAGCCATTTCTTCAAATATCTGGGAGGGCTGTCATGTGGAAAAGAGAGCAGGTTTGTTCTGTGTTGATCTGGAGGGTTGAATGAAGACTTTTGGGAGAAAAGATTTTCTAATGGAACTGTTCCACTATGGAATGGTCTGTATCAATAGAAGTATCTGTTTAAAATAGAAGGGACTTCAAAGATCATTTTACAGATGAGGAGAGTTAGGTTAAAGGACTTACTGAAGATCACATAGAAACCTTATGAGGGATGAGGAGTCTCCTGGATCATGAGTCCCATGCCAGAGTGGTGATAGAGTGCTGTTATTGAGACACAGTGGGTAGAGCAGTGGACTTAGAGTCAGGAAGACCTCAATTCAAATCCTGCCTCAGACACTGACTAGCTATGTGACTCTGGACAAGTCACTTAACCACCGTCTGCCTTAGTCCTCTCTTATAGAGCTGCTGTGAGGATCAAATGAGATAACGTATACAAGGAAACAATATATATGAGATGTTACGAGAATAACATATATATGTATATCACTTTGTTAACTTTACGGTGCTATACAAATGCTAATTATTGCTGTTTTTGTTGTTATCATCATTATTATCAGGGACAAAGGCTGGATCAGGGAATCTCTAAGATGCCTTCTAACTCTAAGAAAATGAAAATCAGTAGGAGGATAGGCAGTTAATTTGGTTTAATCCTACAAACATTTCCTAAATGCTTGTTCTATGTGAGATGCTACGCTTGGTGTTCCAATACAAAGACCTCTATGACCCAGGCCATGCTCTCCAGGAGCCCAGAATCTAAGGAGGGGAGGGACATCACTATGAATGCCCTTGGTACTCAAAGGAATGAGCTAAGTGCAAAAGAGAGCAGCAGGCAAAGTGCCGACAGATTTGAGAAGGGAGAGACTACTTCTGGCTGGGGCTGTTAGGAACGCTGCTGCAGGGGAAGATTCCCTTCCCAGCCAGCGATTGTTGGACTCTCGATGTTGATACCTGATAGGCGGTTGTAGTAGATGGCACTTTATTCAATAAAACAGATGATTAATAATTAAAGGGGCGTTCACAAGTGAAACAGGATTATGTTTGGCAGTAGTGGCTGGTGGGGGACAGAGCAATAGCCTGGGTTATTGTAAAAAGTCAATATGTGGAGGCCTCAAGCAAGTTATCCTTCATTTCCACTGAGAACCAAGTAAGAGGAAACAAAATTACATTATAGAAAGATGAAATTCATTTAGACATCAGCATGAACGTCTTCGCCCTCCAAGGAATTCATCACTAGAAAAACTGACCTCGGGGAGTTGTGAAGCCTCTTCTTTTTTTTGACAAAGGAACAAAACATTGTCCAAATATCAATTAATGTCCTGAGATAGTGAGTGGAAAATTTTGCCAAATCTCTACCTCTCTTGAGCATACCGTGCATGAATACTTCCTAAGTGGCACATTTCCCTTTCCTGTGGTCTGTCTATAAACCCCAAATATCTCTGGAATCTTTCCTCACTTAAAACAGTGAGCCTGCCTACAGCCTGCCACATTGCAGATGATTAATGAGTGCTTATTGACTGGCTGACTGATTGCATTGGATTGGCACACTGGACATTGTTCCATCTATCATTAGTGCAATGAGTTCAACTTTGGATTCCATGAGGTGAGGATGATCTGGACAGTCCACCAGAAAGATAATCTCATTAATTGCTGGTAGTTTTTTTTTTTCCCAAAGCTGATGTGCTTTGCTCATGTCCATCAAGGTCAAAGGTCGAAGAAATCATTCCCGTAATCGTCAGCTCTTCAGATGTTGGATATAGTGTTGGGACTTGTTGACCCAATCTGTCATCTTTGAGCATGTACAAAAGGATTTTTTCCTGCCTGCGTTGTCCAAACCCAAGAACACAAGTTTTACAAATTTTTTGAATAGTCCTAAAAACTGCAGAACACTGCTGAAGCCCTTTATAGATCCACTCAAAAATGAACACCATCATCTCAGTTTAATCATGACTTGATTGAGGCTCCTGGGTGGCTTCTCCAGAGGTGGCATCTCTGAGCCTCCCTTTCCATAGCTGAGGCCAGCACAACAGCACCACCACCAGCTTCCAACCACTTGCTGGAAATACATGGAGTCCCTTTCCACTAAAACCTTTAGAAAGATTTGATGCAGCTATCTGCCTGGAGTAGTTTGGGGGCTCTTTCTCCATCCAGGAAGCAAGTGATGAGGCATCATGATTCTATGACTGAGTTTCTGTGACTGTGCAGCCCTTGGCATGGAGACCACAGGGCAGGGTTAGTTAGGTCCACCTTTCTGCTTTCTGTGCCTTTTTCTCCTTCCCAGGGTAGAAGCTGGTAGAAGACCAGCTGCTCAAGTACATGGGACCCTCCATCTACCCTAGGCCTTCCCTTACCTTGGAGGAAAGAAACTGTTAAACTCAATCTCTCTGAAGTCAGGAGGATTCAGTGTACCCTCACTACTTTGAATTTCTAAAGAAGGGCCTTAATCTGGATGAGGAATGAAGTTATAATGATTTTCAGGAGTTTCAGGAATTTCAGGAAAGTGAATTCAATTCAGTGCTTTTATTAAGTGCCTGGTGTTTGCAAGGCACTGGAAAAATGAAGACCAAAATTCCTGTACTCCAGGAGCTCACAAAGATATAATATACATACAAAGAAGTAGGCACAAGGGAATTTGAGGGAGAAAGCACTAACTTGGGGTAACAAGGAAGGCTTCTTAAGAGACCAAATATTCAAATGTTTGAAATCTGTGAAGGAAGATGAAGATTCAAAGAGATGGGTCATAGATTGAGGGTTTAAAGGAAGCTCAGGAATCATCTCCAATGCCTTCATTTTACAGAAGAGGAAACTGAGACTCAGAGAGATTAGATGATTTGCTCAAATTTACACAGGTAGTGTAAGGGTAGCTAGGTGGCACAGTGGATAGAATGCCAGGCCTAGAGTCAGGAAAATTTATCTTCCTGAATTCAAATTTGGCCTCAGACACTTAGCAGCTTGTGACCCTGGGCAAGTCACTTAACCCCGTTTGCCTTAGTTTCCTCATCTGTAAAATGAGCTGGGGAAGGAAATGGCAAACTACTTTAGTATCTCTGTCAAGAAAACCCCAAGTGGTGTCACAAAGAGTCAGACATTACTGAAAATGATTGAACGACAACACAGGTAGTAAGTATCAGAGGCGGAATTTGAACCCTGCTGTTATGACTCCAGTGAGGAGTCTTTCCACTATACTTCTCTACTTCCTTAGGTGAGGAGGACATGTGTGCCAGGTGTGGAGGAAGGCCTGTAGCAAATACATAGTGGTGAGAGAAGAGAGGACAAGATCAAGGAAAAGCTATTATTCCATTCTACTTGAACAAAGAATCATGAAGAAGATCATCTGAGATGAGGCTTGAATGCCAGGATCAGGAGGTTGTGTTTCAATCTATAGGCAATGGGGAACCATTGAATGTTCTTGAGCAACAGAATGACATCATCAAATGGGTGTATTAATTAGAAGGATTACTTTGGGCATCATTTATAGCAGGTGTTCTTAATCTTTTTTTTTTTTAATCATGATCCCCTCTGGCCTAGGGGACCCTTTTCAGAATAATGCTTTAAAATTTCTAATATTAACTATGTAGTATTAATAGTCATCAAAATATTAAAGAAACAAGTTCATGGACCTTGGATTAAGAGCCCCTAATGTGGAGGATATACTGGAGAAAATAGAGATGGGTTGTTGAGAGACCTATTAGGAGACTGTTATAGAAGTCCAGGCCCACTGTGCCACGTGTTAACTCCTCACTTGGTATTGATATCTAGCTCAGACAACCCATTCATTCTTTCAACAAACCTAACTGGACATTGGAAAAATTCAGTGCTTCCCCTTGTGAGCCACCCTGTGAGCCCAGGTCCAGAAAATGGCAGGAAGCCTCCATCTTGCCAAGGAGAGCCAGCAGCTGCCATCCTTGGCCTTCTCTACTGCATCGTGTCCTGCCAGGGTAGGAATCCATTGTCTCTAGCACCCCGTGCTGCTTTACTCTGAGGGACAAGGTCAAGGGACCACCCAGTGTCTGTCCTGGCTTCTGACACTGTCAT